AAGATTGTATAGGGACGCATTTAATCATCATTTATTGAAGGGATTGTAAACACAAATGGGCATTAATAATGGACTAACGGGCTGTGACAGCATGTACTTTAGGTCCAAATTATATGCAAGGTCAAAAGGTCACTCTAAAGATGGTGAAATACCCAGATTTTGTCTGGAGCAATATCTCCTACATGTATGGAAGAATTTTTAATAATACTTTATAGAAATGTTCAGCCACCATTGATATGTTTATTGGCTCCATGCATGATCCAGGTCTCCAGGTCAAAGGTCAAGGTCCACACTTAGAGCTCATTGAAAAACGCTTGTCCGGAGGCAAAAACTTATACATTCATAAAGGGGGTTTTCAAATATAAAACTTTGGCACAAATGTTTTCACCATTGTGAGGCTGGAGTGTCGCATGCAAAAATTCAGATCCTTGCCCAAAGTCAAGGTTACACATAAGAGGTCAAAGTTTCAGATAAAAAAATTTGAAGATGGTTACAAGGGACCATTTAAGTCATCAATTTTATTGATGGATTGTAGGCACAAATGGTAACTATCATGACTCTAAAGGTGTTACAACATTTAATTTTAGGTTAATATTTGCAAGGTCAAGGTCACTGGAGAATGAATTTAAATATCCAGAATGTTGTCCGGAGCAATTTTCTACATGGGCATGGAAGGAATTTTAAATGTTACTTTTTATAGAAAATTGTTCACGGCACCAATGAGACGTAGTGCCCTGCACATAAACCAAGTCCTCTAGGTCAAAGGTGAAGGTCACAGTTTAGAAGCTCCATAGAAAAACACTTGTTTCTGGAGCAAAAACTTCTACATGGCATAGAGGGATTTCAATATAATTTGGCACAAAAATGTTCATCATTGTGAGGCCTGTGAGTGCGTGGCAATAAAATTCGGGGAGGTCCCTGCGACCCAAAAGGTCAAGGTTGTCACGACATTCTGTGCATATCTTCCCCTAATTGATTTGTTTTAAAGGTTCATTTAACATCACAGTGGCCCCAAGAAAAAAAAACTTGCTTGATAGATAACACTTATCCAATAAATGCCCCATCTCCATCTAAAGCTTTTTTCGTAAACGGGCGTATTTTGTGGACTATGGCAAACCCTTTGTTCACCGTATACTTTGTCATTTCTTAAGGTATTCAACTTCAAACTTCAAATATATATTCCATCTTATGTGACAAGGTTCATAACTCTAAGGGCAACCAATATTTTCAGATTTATCTCCCCTTGAACTTTAAGAATTTTCCTCAAAAAATACTATTTTTTACACTGTTACTTTTTCAAGGGATTCAACCTCAAATACTTTAAAATATATATACCTTTATCATCATCCGCCATCTTAATGTGAACAAGGTTTCATAACTCCTAGCACCAATATTTTTAGATTTATCTCCTCTTGAACTTAGAATTTCCTTAAAAAAATATTACTTTTTAACTGTTACTTATTTATTTTCTAAAGGGTCAAACTTTCATAACTTCAAATATATGTACCTATCATCATCGCACCATCTTATGTGACAAGGTTCATAACTCTAGGCACCAATATTTGCAAGAATTATCTCGCCCATAAATTAAGATTTTTTTAGCTAAGAAAAATGTTATTTTTTACTATAACTTTTTTAGTTTTAAAGGTATCTGCCTCAAACTTCAAATACTTCTTCCCTTATCATCAAATTACATTTTAGGTGACAATGTTCATAACTTTTGAAGCAATAAATTTAGCAGATTTATCTCTTCTTTGAACTTAGGATTTTTCTTTAAGAAATATTTTAACTTCTTTTACTTTTAAAGGTATCTACTTCAAGCTTCAAATATATATTTCTTATCATTACACACATGTTGTGTGACAAGGTTCATAACTCTAGCGTGACTATTTCTAGAATTATTCCCCTCGATCTTGGAATTTATGTTAACAAATGTTATCTTTTTACTTTAACTTAATACATAATTATACCTAATTGATTTTTCTTTCATAGTTTTGTCCTTACTGCGTCCAGTATTTTATTAGTCGAGCTTCACTGTCACCTGTGACAGCTCTTGTTTTTCTTTTGATGTTTTTATTCGGTTGGATTTTAAGTGAAATAATATTAAATGTTTCTTTGATGGATTGTGTTAGGAAATAAAATAAATACTTTTCTAACAATGTTTTTTTTTCAATCACAACTGCTATATTACGCCTGTTGGTTTAGCGATGTTTTTTTTATGCTCTAGAAGGGCGGCATATTACACTGGGCGGTCACACTTACAGTTTTAAGGTTCACATTCTCAAAATTAGAGTTTATATAAAGATAAACACAATTGTGTCCGGACTGTAACTTTGTCATGTATGGAAGAATTTTTCGATAACCTGGCATATACATGTATGTCTAACACATCAAGATGATGTGTCCTGTCCAAGACCCTTGCCACTACCTCTAAGCTGAAGGTCACACTTGTAGTTTGAAGGTACTCATTCTCACAAGAAAAGTTCGAAGGTACACATTTGTGTCCGGTCTGTTTCTTCGTCATGCATTAGAGAATTTTTGAAACAAATTGGCACAAAATGTCTATCACATCAAGACGATGTGTAACACTTAATATTTAGACACAACTTCTTTTAGGTGACCCTGACCATCAAGGTCAGATATTTGAATTTTGCTTAATATATTTCTTTTCAACTGTGTCATTTATTTATGGAATTTACTCAGACTTGGACAAAACAGCTAGTGTGTCTAGCCAGACCTGTTCAAATAAAAAAGGAAAACCTCATTTTTAGCTCACCTGTCACAAAGTGACAGGGTGAGCTTTTGTGATCGCTTTTCGTCCGGCGTCCGTCCGGCCGTCCGTCCCGTCGTCCGGGCCGTCGTCCGTTGCCGAAACTTTGCTTTAAAATGAATCTTCCTCATAAACCACTGAGCCAATTTCATCCAAACTTGCACAGGAATGTTCCTTTGGTGGTCACCTTTAAAAATTGTTCAAAGAATTTAATTCCATGGCAGAACTCTGGTTGCCATGGCAACCGAAAGAAAAATCTTTAAATATTTCTTTTAAACAACCCTAAGAGCTAGAGCTTAGATATTTGGCATGAAACATCTTCTAATGAGTGTCTTACCAAGTTTGTTCAAATAAAAGCCCTGGGGGTCAAATTGGCCCCGCCCCGGGGGGGGGGGGGTCATTGAGATTTTCCCTATATGCATATAGTAAACATTTAAAAATCTTCTTTTAAAGAACTGTAAGAGCTAGAGCTTAGATATTTGGCATGAAAAACATCTTTCTAGTGAATGTCTACCAAGTTGTTCAAATAAAAGCCCTGGGGTCAAAATTGGCCCCCGCCCCAGGGGTCATTGATTTTCCTATATGCATAAACTAAAAACTTAAAAAATCTTTCTTTAAAGAACCCAAAGAGCTAGAGCTTTAGATATTTGGCATGAAAATCTTCTAGTGAATGTCTACCAAGTTTGTTCAAATAAAAGCCCTGGGGTCAAAAATTGGCCCGCCCTGGGGGTATTGATTTTCCCTATATGCATATAGTAAAAACTTAAAAAAATCTTCTTTTAAAGAACCGTAAGAGCTAGAGCTTAGATATTTGGCATAAAACATCTTCTAGTAAATGTCTACCAAGTTTGTTCAAATAAAAAGCCCTGGGGTCAAAATTGCCCGGCCCCAGGGGGTCATTGATTTTCCCTATATGCATATAGTAAAAACTTAAAAAATCTTCTTTAAAAGAACTGTAAGAGCTAGAACTTAGATATTTGGCATGAAACATCTTCTAGTGAATGTCTACCAAGTTTGTTCAAATAAAAGCCTGGGGTCCAAAATTGGCCTGCCCCAGGGGGTCATTGATTTTCCTTATATGCATATAGTAAAAACTTAAAAAATCTTCCTTTTAAAGAACCCAAAGAGCTAGAGCTAAGATATTTAGGCAAGAGACATGTTCTAATGGGTGTCTACCTAGTATGTTCAAATAAAAGCCCTGGGGTCAAAACTGGCCCCCGCCCCGGGGGTCATTGATTTTCCTTATATACATATCAAAACTTAAAAATCTTCTTTTGAAAAAACCCAAATACATAGAGTTTAGATATTAAGCATGAAACATCTTTAAGTAAATATCTACAGTGTTTGTTCAAAATAAAAGCCCAGGGGTCAAAAACTGGCCCTGCCCGAGGGGTGTCATTGTTTTTAACTATATGTGTATAGTAAAAACTTAAAAAATTTTCTTTTAAAAAACCCAATGAGCTAGAACTTTTAGATGTTTTGCATGAAACATCTTCTTATGGGTGTCTACCAAGTCTGTTTCAAATAAAAAGCCCCTTGGGTAAAATTGGGCCGGGGGGGGGGGGGGGGGGGGGGGGGGGGGGGGCTATATACAGGTGAGCGACCTCAGGGCCATCATGGCCCTCTTGTTTTTTTAAATCGTTCATTTGTTTGCTTTTAGAAAAAGTAAAAAAATTCAAGTGTTGCCTCTGCCTGGCAGTTGCTCTTGTTTGTATTTATGTCAAGAATATGTTAAAGATTTTTATCACATACCCGTGCCGATTTTGCGACTCCATAAATATGGTATTGCACAGCCATGCATATATTTTGACTAAAGTCATTAGCGTTACACAAACATAGTGTAAAGACGCGCTAAATGTTAGCGTTAAACTATAGGCGCGTCAATGAAAAATGACTCTTATTTCACTTTAAACAGACTTTATTTTGGGTATGTGATAAATAGAATATTAAATTCGTGTAAGTTCATTACTGAATTTATTGCACTCGTTGAATAAAATAATATTATGCTCGCCAGAGGCTCGCATAATATAATTTTATTCAACTCGTGCAATAAATTCAGTATTGAACTTACACTCATTCAATATCCTCTATATAATACATGTATAATGTTGTAGATGACATTTGAAACATTATCAATTATGTATCTAATACCTTTAATATATTCACATGAAAAATGGATTTTGATATCAGAAAAAAAAAATGATATATATGAATTCATGATTGATTGTATTTACAGCCAAAGCCTAAAAAGAAGAAGCCAGAAAAGAAAGTAGAAAAAAAGGCAGAAAAAGCAGAGGCCCCAAAGAAATCATCAGATGGCGCACAAAAAGGACCAGGTGGAGAAATGATGTTTCCGGTATAATATCCATTAATTGTATAAAAGTCCAGGTCTCTCGCTATTATTTGTGGCAAGGTAGCATATAAGTGCATGAAGCTACTGTTTTTTTGTATGCAATTAGTTTCCTGCTACTAATAGCTGCTACCTAGCCGCTACCTTTTCCAGCAGCCCTTTCCTGCTACCTTGCTGCTACTAGAAGCTGATACCTTGCTGCTACTATTAATAGCTACCTTGCTGCTAATTTTTCAGCAACTTTTTTCCTGCTACTGTATTTGCATTTAAAAAAACAACAAAATATAGGCCTTTACTAATAAACAAAATTCAAAGCAATTCTTAAATGTGATTTTTTACAAAAACAGCATAAATGAAGTATTTAGATACTAAACTTAACAACTGATTGGCAATGAAGTGGACATCAACTTAAGACCACTGTCAATTAGACACAAACTTTAGACCACTGCCTATTAGTCGCAAACCTAAGACCACATTAGACATTAGATGCCTATATAAGACCACTGTCAATTTGATGCCAACAAAAAAGTAATACCACTGTCCATTGGACACCAACGTAGGACCATTGTAGATTAGACAATAACATAAGACCACTGTCAGATAGGCACTAAGACCACTGATGATTGGATGCCAAAGAAGGCAGCTTATCTAATCAGAAGTTGCTTCTCACGTTATATTAAGTCTCAGATATTTTACATATTTGCACAATTTAGGTTATTGCATAATAGGGAAATAATTGTGTACACCATGTTAAAATTATACTACTTATGTTCATTTCCAGATAGCAAGAATGAGGTTTGCTACAGTGAGTGAATTTAGAGGTAAAGTTATGGTGGGCATTAGAGAATTCTATGAAAAAGATGGTGAAATGAGGCCAGGCAAAAAAGGTTTGTTTAATAAATCTTATAATGCACGTTGTTTTCTATGTTTTGTTATGGGTTAAATACCATTAACTAAATTCAATTTTATAGTAGTTGCCTGTAAACTTTGCCAGTGTTTCTGTGTTTCAAATAAGAATAAGCTACATTTTATTTACATAATTAAAAGCTGTCAACAGTTTAATATCCAATGGTAGACAAACTAATATTTTGCTCATTATCTTCCCAAAAACCTGGAGAGCATGCTGGCCACAGCCTTCTTTTTTTATAAAAAACCGGGTTCCAGCCTAAAACTATTGTGCCCAGGATTTAATATATAATGTCTCAGATTGTGCTTACATAGCCTGTCCAGTTTGTTATTATGTATAAAACAACTATTAACTTATTCATCAAGTTGTAGTTTAATTGTGAGAAAATGAATACTGTTAAAGCTGAAAGTGTTACCACTGACAATGTTTATTGTTAATTTACTTTTTTTACAGGAATCTCATTATCCATGGAACAGTGGCAAAAACTGAAAGAACAAATAGATGATATAGATCAAGCTGTGAGAGACATTTCATAGGAACATTTCAAATTTGTCTCTGTAGTAGTTTCATTGGTCATTATATGTAGTTCTAGTTGTTGTCATCTGTCAAAACATTACTGTAAATTTGATGGAAAATTAAAAAGTGTAAATCAAATATAAAGTCATAATTATTAGTTAAATGATTACAAATATTAAAGTGAAAAACTTATTATATTACTTACAAAAAGCAGACGTTAAATCAATGTAAAAATACAATAAAAGCAAATATTGTTTATCAATAAAGATATTAAATCTAATTAATGTGACTTCAAAAAGTTAAATATCATTTATTAAATGTCACATTTTATTGAGCTGAATGTTATACATTTTAGATACTTATTATTACTGTACTTTCACATAAATTCAAACAGAAAGAAAACAGACAAGATCATGCAAAGCAACAAATTAACAAATTTCTTGCTATAGCATACCTCTCAAAATTACAAGCAAGAAAAATAAACAAACAAAGATTGCATTTTATAAAAGTGAAACCAATTTATAAAGAAATTGCTTTCTTGTTCTAAAATATAAGTCAGTTCTTCTAAAATTTTATTCTGAAAAGCCCTAAAATGTACCCATTTTTTGTCAGAAGGTGCTGGACAGCCTGAATTGATGACTGGATATGACAATTAATTTACTTTTATGAAATTATACCTTATAGTATAAACCTTTGATCATTAAGCTTTTAACATGCTTTCTTTCTCATAAAAAAAGTTTAAGCAAAATAAATACAAAATATGTCAATGAAGGACAAAGAAATGGACGGGACATAACTGCCAATGCACTATAATATCAGGACTTTGGACATTCAAGTATGAATTTGACCTGCTGACATTACTTGACTTCTTAAAAAGCAGCATATTTAGGTATATTTATTTCAAAATCCATCCATGAATAACAAAGATCATCTATTCACAATCTTGACATTTGACTTACAAGTGTGTCCTTGACCTTTTAACCTGAGCTCAACTTGTCACCACCATGTGTAACACATCTATGCCAAGTTATATTAAAGTCCATCCAGTAAACACAGAATTGTTGACCAGACATTATTATCAATGTACTTACAAATGATCATGACTTTGGAATACAAGTATGACCTTGACCTATGACCTTGAGACCAGATTTTTGTATGTGACATGTAGTCATCATGTACAAGTCATTATGCCAAGATGTTCTAGAACCATCCAAGAATGATGAACATCAGCTCACTTTCATGAAAAAAAAATATATGATGACTATGGAAATTCAAGTGTGACAATGACCTTTGAGATAGGGCAGGGCTTTTTAACCTTCTATAATGGCTGCCTATAAAAGGCCCCTTCACAATCCAAAATTTCACTTATTTTTACAAAACAGAGGGAAAAAAATCACAATTCTTTGCAGATTTCGCAAATTATCATACTTTGATTTTAGATACAATGTACTAGATTGCTTTTGTTTTACTTTATGAATCCAATAGGATATAAATAAATGTGTAGAAACTCAGTTTCCACCAATTTGAATCGGTGAGTAAAGATATTTAAAGCAATCTTCCTTAATTTGTTCAAAAATTACTTTTTCACAATTGTTCTATTTACCGCACTATTTTTTTTCACAAAATGGCCAGGCCCAGACCCCTTCACAAGTTTGGCAAAAAAGCCCTGTAGGATCCTGATTCTTGCTCATAACATATGGTCAACAAATTTGTGGATAGTAATTTTTAAATCCATCCTGGAATGACATGATTGTTGACCAGACACAATCTTCATTGCACTTTTATAAAAAGTCACATCATGACTATGACTTGATTCTTGCATGTGACACATTTAATATCATGTTGTTCCGACACATTTTTGCAAAGATGAACATCAGTGCATTTTAAGAAAAAATTCTATTAAGTCAGAGTGTGAAATGGACCTTTAAAGTATGAACCTCGATTTTGGTCACAACACCTCATTACACTGATACGCGTATATATATTTATACAAACTAATTTTAAATATATCCAAAATTGACAAAATTATGGAAAGGACATAAAGTTGAAATAGATGCTGCAAAAACTATTATGCCTCCCGACATTTAAATAAAATAAAGATAAATAAATAAAATAAGATCTTCTTTACATATACATGTATTTATAGATAAGATGGCAATGCTGCCAAACTGGCAATTTTATGCTGGTGAAATGTGTGACATGCCCCCTTGGTGACAGTCTTTGTTTTGAAGGTTGGTTGCAGCGGATGGTTTCCCCCACTTTTTCCCCCTGAAAAAACTGAAAATAACAGAATTTTTTATCCCCCAAAATTTGTGGGAGCAAAATAGCGTTGCATTTGGGCCGTCCTTTCGTCCGCCGTCAGTCGGGTCGTCCGTCAGCCGTACGTCCCGAAACTTGTGAACGAACCCCCCCTCTTAAACCCGGAGGGCAGATTTTGTTAAAAATTTTACAGGGGATAAACCCAACCTTAATGTAAAAGATGGTAAAAAAGGGAAGGTTTTTTTCGCTGGCCCAAAATTTTAAAAAACAAAATTAGGGCCCCTTTTTGGTTGATTTTTTAAAACCCCGAAAACTAGGTAGAAATTTTGTGAACGCAACCCTTAAAACCGGGAATGGCAGATTTTTGCTTAAACTTAAAAAGAGATGAAAAACCCTTTAATGTGTGGGTTGGTAGTAAAGGAAGGAATTTTTTGCTGCGACCAAATTTAACAGAATTATGGCCTTTGTTGATTTTTTCACTATATACTATATAGAAATTTTGTGAAACGCAACTCCTCTTAAACCGGATGGCAGATTTTGCTTAAACTTACAGGGATGAACAACCTTCAGGTGTAGATGGTAGTAAAGGAAGGAATTTTCGCTGCGACCAAATTTTACAGAATTATGGCCCTTTGTTGATTTTTAGCTCGACTTTTCTATGAAAAGGGGAGCTATCCTACTCGCCCCGGCGTTGGCGTCGGCGTCGGCGTTGGCGTCACACCTTGGTTAAGTTTTTCGTACCACCCCACTTTATTTCAGAAGTATTACAAGTATGGCTTTGAAACTTACCATACTTGTTCACCATCATAACCTCCATCTACAGACAAGAGTACATAACTCTGTCAAGGTTTTTTTGACAGAATTATGGCCCTTTTTTTGACTTAGAAAGTGTATTGAGCTTGGTTAAGTTTTTTGTACCACCTCACTTTATTTCAAAACCATTGGAGGTATTGCCTTTGAAACTGACCATACTTGTTTACCATCACGACCTTCATCAACAGACAAGAGGACATAACTCTGTCAAGGTTTTTGACAGAATTATGCCCCTTTTTGACTTAGAAAATACATTGAATATGGGTAAAATCCACTTATTGCCTTAACCCTTTGAGATATTGCTTTGAAACTTTTAATGCTATTTCACATCATTACCCCATCTGTACGCAAGAGAAGGTAACTCTGTCAAGGATTTTTGTTTAAAAATTAAGGCCTTTTATCGACTTAGAATCTTGGTTAAGTTTTTAGTACCAGTCCACTTTTTGACTGAACTGTTTGAGATATTAATTTGAAAGTTGGAATACTTGTTTACAATCATGATTCCCAAACATGTCCAGGAGAAGGTAATTCTGTCAAAGATTTTATTTGAATTATGGCCCTTAACTGTCAATGTTTTGTATTATAGGCAAGCACTAAAAAACTTAAAAAATCTAAAAAAATTCATTCCTATCCACTTGTTCACTTTACCATAAATTATGTCATATAAACATTGCTGTAATATTCAAGGGTATCAAAAATACAAGTACAAAAATATACTGCTTCCTTGGCATAGATTTCTTTCAAGGTGTTCTGAGTGACGTAAAAATACCTTATTCTCTCAAAGTGGGTTTAATACTATTAAATTTATTTAAGGCTCAACTCAGTTTTTTTTTCTTTCTTACCAGCCCTCTTTTGACTTAAACATTTCAAACTTTGCTGCAGTGTTCAAGGGTATCACACAATTCAGTAAAATAATTCTTCACTAAATATCTTAATGCTCATGGCCATTGTTCACTTTAAAAATACAGAGATTCTTGTATTGCCTTTTACTGCAAAAACTTTTTTTATTGGCAAGCAATATAAAAGTCGAGCGCGCTGTCTTACGGACAGCTCTTGTTTCACTATATACTATGTAGAAATTTTGTGAATGCAACTCCTCTTAAACCGGATGGCAGATTTTGCCTAAACTTCCAGGGATGAACAACCTTAATGTGTAGATGGTAGTAAAGAAAGGAATTTTTGCTGCAACCAAATTTAACAGAATTATGGCCCTTTGTTGATTTTTAGTTTTCAACTTGTGGCACATGTAGTCCAAAAAATATTTGACCTAGAGTCATAAGATTGACAGAACAGTGGCGTGTTGGGGCATCCGTGTCCTATGGACACATTTCTAGTTTTAATGGTGATAATAACCACCAATCACGGTAGCAGTTCACTTAAATGATTTTGAACATGAAAAGTACATAAGTTATAATGACACATATATGTAAAATAGTTTGTATTATTGCTATTTTTTTCAATGAAAATGTTCTTACTTTTTCCTACTTTTTTGCCGGAAACTCCTATTTTTCTTTTACTGTTTTGATTTAGACCAGTTGAAGGCCTGGATATTTTCAAAGCTAAAATAATATGATAATTTTCACAATGAAAGTGCACGACGATCGCCCAAACGCTATTTGAATATAACTTATTATCTAGGACACGGATTGAGTGCACCCCGGGTATTTCCGTAATTCACAAAATAAGAACACATTGACAAACGCAACACAAATGTAAAGAGCCGAAAAGTTGCGATTGCATAAAAAACATAAGAAAATACACGAATTTTATCATTTGCTAAATAGCCGAGGTAATCGGAATTTCTTGTTAACAATAAGGTTGTCGTGTTTTAATTTCCTGGTTTAAAAAGCGAATATTAAAAAGATGGATTACTTTTATCAATATACGGTAATATTATCTTTGTCATCATCTTTTACTTCTGAATGATATACAAAGTTACGTATATATAAATTATAAGAGACATTTTCTTGTAAAATTGATGTTTCGTTTAAGTGTTCATTATTATACCTATCAAAGTTTAAAAAGTCAGGAGTGACGCAGCCGCACGACCAATTTAATTTTGTAAATATGCCTTCTATTACAGATTTAATTAAATATAGATCTGCGTTACAATTTACTTAACTGACTCTAACAGGAAGCCCATGTACCAAATTGAATGTAAATCGTTAATGTGTTCATTTGAAATACTGCAATATGATTGGACAAAAATAATTTCAAACACCAAACGGTTATTTATTTTCCGAAAATGATATATTCTAAAGTAAATATATTCATTTTCATTAGAAATATTACAATATGATTGTATGAAAAGTAATTTCGAACACTAATATGGTATTTATTTTCAGAAAATGATAACTAAATGCAAAATGTATGCATAACCTGGTTATTTCAGAGATAAGGTGGATCACGGATTTATATTACAACATAAATCCGTTGATGGATTTATATCTTGATATGGGTTTTATCAGTGATTTGTATTGCAATTTATTTTCACTATTGTCCTGATAAATGTTACGTAATATACCAGCTGAAAAAGTGTTTGCAAGTGATTTTAAACAATTAAAATAGTTTTTTAAACCAAAGAATGAAGACTGATATTGAAGAGGGTATTTGGCTGAAATTTCGTTCAAATTTTGTCCGTGAAAAAACTTGAGAGGATGCTCTGTTTTTGTAATAAAGTTGCAAATTGTAATCATTATTACAAAACGGGTTGAAAAGTTTATTACAATTTGAAATTTTCCGCACAACCCGTTTTGTAATAAAGTTGCAAATTGTAATAATTATTAACTACCAACAGAAGCCAAAAGTCAATTTTACCCACTAATGTAAGTTCATCTTCAGAAATATCATTCAATTTTAAGTAACTTATACATGTGACCTATTTGTTGCAAAAATTACTATCATTAACATTTCATGAAAATAAGCATCATTTCGTTACATAATAAATAATGACAAACATATCATTTCTCAGGCAAATTGTAACATTTATTACAATTTTATTACAATTTAATTACAATTTTCAACTTTATTACAAAACGGGTTGTGTGGAAAATTTCAAATTGTAATAAACTTTTCAACCCGTTTTGTAATAATTATAACAATTTGCTATTACAAAACGGGTTGTAACATAACAGTAACAATGCTTCCCAGTATTTGTCCGCCCGGTATTTGTCCGATTTGCAGAACCTTATCAGTCCGTCAAGCCCGTCCAAAAGAGTTTATCCTTTATTTTGGCAGCGACACCTATTTCTTCTCAATGATGCATAATAAAATGGTCCCATTGGCCTCCTGTGCAACAAAATCATTTAGCCAGGGCGACTCCACTATAAACAAACTATCAGTCATTTATAACATTGTGAAGCAATAGACAATGGAAAGGAAATTAAAATTGTATTTTGTGATATTAGCAAAGCTTTTGATCGGGTATGGCACAAAGGAATCATAACTAAATTGTCATCTGCTGGAATTCGTGGAGATTTACTTCTTTGGTTTCAAAGCTACTTATTCAACAGGCAGCAGAGAGTCACTGTCCAAGGTTCATCACGGTTCTCTTCTTTACGTCAGGGCTGGTGTTCCTCAAGGATCCATTCTCGGTCCACTGCTTTTCCTTATATTTATAAACGACATTGTAATAGATATCGACGCCAACATCAGACTTTTTGCAGATGACACTAGTTTATCCCTTATCGTTAATACACCCGAAATAACAGCAAATGTACTAAACTCTGATTTACAAAAGATTAACCAATGGTCTAAAGAATGGCTGGTTTCGTTTAATCCAGCAAAGACCATATGTATGACTATATCTCGGAGCTATTTAAACACAACATCCTCCCCTACTTCTGCAAAACCAAGTCATTTCTGAAGCTTCTTCTCGCAAACATTGAGGAGTTGTTCTATCAAACGATTGTTCATGGTCAAATCATCTAGAATATATTAAAAACAAAGCTTCGACAAGGATCAATATTCTCCGAAGTCTAAAATTTACACTCGACAGAAATACATTAGAAACATTATATTTGACATTTTATTCGTCCATTATTAGAGTATTGATAATTGTGTTCAGCTAGCGAAAAGCATGAATTAGATATGATTCAAAACGAGGCTGCCAGAATAGTCACAGGTGCTACTAAACTTTGTTCTCTTGAAAGACTTTATAAAACTCTTTTACGACAAGGTATTAGCAAACCTGACTTCTATGGAGATGTGGTTTACAAACTTCGTAGGATCATGGGTCATAGTAATTTTTCTGCCGTCTTCACTATAATTATCAAACGGTTTATTAATAGAGGTTATGACCCAATTATTTTAAGGCATACCGCATGCTTGTTGTTCAACCCTTTTACAGCTGGACGCTACGCTTTCCTCTTTTGATTACATCTGACGGACCAAGTGGGAGACTCTATGATGGACAGTTCTTAAAGCCCTTTGGGACTGAATTGTCTTAATGTTCGTCTTCTGCCTTGCTTCGTCGGGCCCTTGTAGGTGATTTTCTTGTTGCTCTGCCTTCCTTTAAGGCACCAAGTACTTTGGTAATGGTCTTTAGGCTGTAACTTTTTCTACATATTTACATAATTTTGTATGTGTTTTATTTATTTCGTCTAATGTAACCATGACCATTGTTAGATTTTCACTTGGCGGGGATTAATTTTATATACATTTTCGTGTCATTCAGGAACATATTGGGGCTAAGAGTGAGGTTTGGCGCGCCTAAAACCGGTTTAAACTCCCCAGTGGTTTAACAAGCACTGACCGTTCCAAGGCGGTACCCCTTTGTGTTCCTTCACGTGTTTTTCTTGTCTGTATTGTTACTTTTTGGATGTTTACATGTTTTGTGATGTCTGTCTTGTTGGATTGTCGTTGACGGTAGGTATTTTCTCTCTCTCCCCCTCCCCCTCTTCCATTTTTACCCCCCCCCCACCTTTTCACCCGGACAGCCCTTATCCCTTTAATTCCCTAATTGGCCCGTTTTTGTTTATATTATTTCACATTACATATCCCACTCCTTTCGCCATTGTGTCCACTCCAGGTTTTTGTTTGGTGCCTTCTGGGTGTCCTACTTGGGTGTGTCCGGGGGCAGCGTCCTGTGAACGTTGCCTTTGCCTTGTTGATCTTTATTCTTGTTATTTTATGACGACCTAGGATGGGAATCATTATCAACTCGACGTAGTAATCACAAACTGGTCTTTATTTACAAAATACGAAATAGTTTATGTCCTACTTACTTAAACACTCTAATCCCAACACGTCTAAACGAAAGATACACCTTCAGAAACTCCACTGATATTCCTCCTATCTATTGTCGAACATCCTTTTATCAAAACTCTCTTATCCCGTCTAGTATCCGTTCTTGGAACACGCTCCCTCAAAATACAAAATCATCAGAATCTTTACAACAATTCAAGCGACTTCTTTCAAACCCACACAAAGCCCCTTATTATTTTAACACAGGACCTCGCAAACTTCAAATCCTGCATACTCGCTTAAGACATGGCTGTAGTTCCTTAAATGATGATCTTTTCCGAAAAAAATATTTCCGAATCAAACACATGCGCCTGTGGTCAAACAGAAACAGTGTGTCATTTTCTTCTAAACTGTCCTTTGTATCAACATATGCGAGATATCCTTTATAGGAACATCATACAGCTGGATAGATCCCTGATCATAACTCACACTCTGCTATTGCATGGTTCAAAGTCCCTTTCAAACAACCAAAAACGTAGAGCTTTTCAAGTCTGTATACCTTTATATTGATTCTACGAAACGATTTATATAATGTCTGACTGCTACTGCTATGCTACTTATATTCTTTTTTTTTGTCCTTATCTTTATTTGTTTAATGTCTTTTTGTGTGTTTTTTTTCTTGAGTTGTTTTTGAGTTTTTTTATTTATTTTTTGTCAATACTTACTAAAATGTTTGTCCTTACCATTAACATTTTTCCTTATCAATCTTGCATTATCAAATGTGTTCACTTTTTGGTAACTTGTTAATTACAACCACCACAGACATTGAAGATTGTTATTGTTAGATAATGGCTTCTATAAGCTTCTGCTTTCGGCCAAAATCTATAATTTTTGTTATGTTGTTATTTACACATGTACAAATATTCTAAATAAAATACATGTATGTTTAAACCAAGCGTGTTGTCGCTCCGCGTTCCCGCCATTTTGACTTGTTAAATCTCGACTTTTCGCTTGGTTTAAACATATTTATTCAACAAAACATTTAACAAGTAAACAATATTTACAAAGTACATTTTGGGGTTGGGCAGTAAGCTATAAAGCTCTCTTTCGCTTGGCTGGGTCGCGGGGCGAAACTACGCTAACTAGCGGGGTGCGGGACGAAGTTTTATTTAATAAACTTCGCCCCGCGCCCCCGCTAATTAGCGTGATTTCGCTCCGCGCCACCGCCGATTTATTTCATTAATCTCGCTCCGCCACCCCGCGGGGCAACGTTTGATTAATAAAAATTCGCCCCCGCTAATTAGCGTGTTTTAGCTTCGCGAATCTGCCGTTTTAATTTGTTAATTATCGACTGTTTACTTCGCGGGGTCACAGGGCAAATACGGACGCGGGGCAAGTTTTTATTTTTTAATTATCATTTCGCGATCCCGCAGGGCGAAGTTTTATATATTAAACTTCGCCCCGCGCCCCGCTTATTAGTGTGTCTTCGCTCCATTCCCGCCATTTTAGCTTGTAAATTCTCGACTTTTCGCTAGGCGGGGTCGCGGGGCGAAAACAAGAATGACACAAATCAGCCACCATATAAGAAAGTTTAGGAATGTGTATGTGGGCTTAAATGCACCGATGATTTCATTATGTACACACAATAATAAGATTTATTGCATCAACTTCCTTTTTCAAATTAAAGCAAACATTTACATTAACGTATACAAAATATCAGTATTTATACGACTTTTTTCTCACCAGGGCTATTTAAAAAGTGTCTTCCACGTGGATTTAGCGCAGCCGAAATATAAGGTGTTTGGCTTAGGCCAGTTAAATGACACGTATTGACAAGCATTTTTGTTTTCAAAAAAAAAAGAAAAAAAGTGTGTTGCCATTTTGTGTTATTTAGTAGCGAGAATCTCGCATGAAACCTTTGGCGCCTTTTCAACGGTGAGTTTCTCGCATGTTTAACTGCCTTATGAGAATTGAAATGTAAAAAAAAATAATGCGATAATTGACTTTAATTCTCGCATGTTTTTTGAGATGTGTAGCTTATTTACAGGATCAGCAACTGTGGTAAAAGTTCGTTGAAAGAGAATATCGCTTCTTATCTATTAACAAGAGTAGTGCGCTGGAGAATTCTGAAACAAGAGTCTGGACAATGCAGAATTTTCTGAATTTCAAAAAGGACCATAGCTCTGCTAAATTCAGTGCACTCGACTGTTCTCAGTGCTTGATACTATCAAGTTGATAAATAAAACAAGAATCTGGATAATGTAGAATTTTCTAAGTTCAGAAAGGACCATAGTTCTGTCAAAATTCTGATAAGAGTTTGAGGCCTTGGATATTGACCTATTATGCTCTCAAATGAGTGTGTGAAGTATCTCTCAATTTTCTTCAGTAGTTTTTGGGGATACCAACTTGCACACAAATATTTTACCAAATTGTGACGCCAACGTCGACGCCTCGGCGAGTACAATAGCACTCCATATTCTTCGAAAAGTTGAGCTTTAACAAGAGATTTAGTTAGTCTAAGATCTTAGCGGGCGATATGTTGACTGCCTCAAACAGGACACTATAGAAAAATAAATAACTCTAAATAAAGAATTTTATTTGACCTGAAAAAAACGCGGCCTACATGTCGTGTGTAAGAAAGTATTCAGATAAAAAATAAACATCTTTTATCTATATTTTTTATACATGACAGTTCACATTGCGCCAAAATTGGACGCTTGGAGTGTACTTCTATAAAACTGTATAGTAAGCATACTTAAAACGACATTTAAAATCACATAATCTATAAAAATTAAACGCTCTAAAACTTTTTACAGTACATGGAAATTGTGCAAAACAATTCATATCGGAAAAGTATAACAAAAATTATTTGTTTTATAAAACAAAGTTCAACGCTGATATCCTAGAGACACTCCAAAGCTAGGGCTTGGTTATAACGAATGATACGTACATAACAAATAACAAGTCATTTTAAATTGATATAGTCAAAAACTTGCCCATACTGACAGTTTATATCAAGTAATTGATACTGGCCAATTGCATTCAACATTTTTATTGATTACTTTTACAGCAGCATGCCTCCAGATTCATGCTTACTTTCATGAAAAATTTAAAAAATGTATTTAAAAGTAAGATATTGTGTAGTAAACAAAGAAAGTAATTTACGCATTGCAAACGGCACGAACAATGCACGTAAATTATCAAAAAGAGGTCAGAATATGCAAAAATAGCCCGAACTGCCTTAATCACGCAGCAGAAATATGGCAGACAACTATCTTCCACAAAGAGATATTTTTTTATAAAGGAGTTGCTTTCGGTTGCCATTGCAAACAGAGGTTTGCAAGTAATGCAATTGTTTAAGAAATTAAACAATGGCTTAACATTATCAAAGTAGAAGTTGTTTGAAACTGCATTTTGAGCTAAGTTTTGGCTTTGTCGTCTTTTGTATTTTGTATTCTTTCCAAACGATCTTTTTTCTCAAATGTCTTTACTTTTCTTGCATCAAGCAGTGGAGTGGCTTTCTTTAAATATGATCAGGATTTTTTGTTGTTTTCTAATATAGGCTCAACAACAAGTTCAGGTGCAGAAAAAAGCATTCGATAATTTTTTGCAACAACAAGAGTTGGAAGAAGATATTTCGGACGACTCCGAGACTGACTCTTCGGACTACGAGGTATGAATTATTGAAGTTTTGCTTTAAACATTACACAAATGAGCCATGCCATGACAAAACCATCAATGGGTTTGCGACCAGCATGGATCAAGACCAGCCTGCGCATCCGCGCAGTCTGATCAGGATCCGTGCTGTTCGCTTACCAACCCTATTTCAAGTAGAGAAACTGATAGCGAACAGCATGGATCCTGATCAGACTGCGCGGATGCGCAGGCTGGTCTGGATCCATGCTGGTCGCAAACCCATTATTTTGGTTTTGTCGTAACGCGGCTCAAATACATTTTTTACCTCTGGGTATAATAAAACTTCCGCTGTTACGCATAAATTTATCCGTATAATATTTATACAAAAATTCAAGGAGAATCAGAACCTGTATAAATGGTGTTAATTAAGTTCTAATTGACAGTGTCATAAAAAGGGTAAACATTAAAAAGGACAGTGTACTTTTGTTTAAGAAAACAGCTTTTTGAAGAAAATGTTACATCAAATACAAGCGTTTTTAGAAAAGATTACAATGCCAATTTCCATTTTAGGAGCCATCACTGTTATTGGCGACGCCGGTGAGCGGCGTCGTCTTATATGGAATGCTTTTTATTTTTGCCTATTGAAGGAGCTGTTATTATTAGCAGTTAATTTCATGTTGAGTTAATGAGATTTATTTTGATTCGTAAAAATCAAGTAAACAAATATGTTGTTATATTTGTATTTAATAACTTTATATAAAAAGCATGTGCATTGTGATATTATTTTCACGAAATTGCAGGCTCAGTTTAATTATATGTTGTACTTATCAGTGATTAACTTCATACAAAGCAAACTACTTGTACATGTACATAGTAAATTTCTATCGACCAACTGTAAAATGAAAATTACAATTTAACGTGAAATATGATTAACTTTATAAAGTATTTTATTAATAGAAACAAGAAGTATCAACAAAAAAGATGCTTGATCGTTATGTATAGGTTATAGGTTATATACAGAGTTTTAAGAAATAAATTTTCGAGCGAACGAAGTGAAGCGAGAAAATTAGTTTCTTAAAACTCTGTATATAACCTATAACCGGCTTACAGTTAGCCCTGTCTATTCAAATCGAGTGCACTATGTAAATAGGCGGAGTCCATTAAATCGGCTCATTAAATAAATTTAATACATACAGTTGAGTTACAGCACTGTATGGAAAATACTTCGGCAAAATTTAAACAAAATAGAGCGATTTCATTGGCAGACAAACTGTAAATTCACATACATTCATTATACAGCAGAACATATATACATATTCTTCAGATATGGGCCAATGACTTAGTTGAATCAATCGGGGCAGTTCAACTACAAATACATGTATACGTAGCTGGAGTTTTAGGACAATATGGACGCTTGTCACTGTGTATAACGTGCTTTTGTTAATTGTATAAAATACTGCCGAAAATGGTTACCTATACCAAGTCATAGATACCCGAGACAATATTGCATTATAGGATGTTGAAGTCCTTTCACGATGTTAGTCGAATATGGTGGACATCCAAAGTAAAATTACTTCTTGATACTAATGCCATTGACTATTCTGAAATTTTAAAATTTCAAAAAATACCTGTGAGTATTGTATGTCGGTATGATAAAATGGTTTCATATATTGTAAACATGAATTAATATATTGATAATTCGGTTTCATATAAGGACATCTGGTTCCATACATTGCTACTTTGGTACCATATATTGAAGACCTGGTATCATATAATGTGATAATCAACTTATATATTGATACTTTGGTTCAATACATGGATGAAATGGTTATATATATGTAAAAATGAATTAATAGATTGATTATTCGGTTTCATATAAGGACACCTGGTTCCATACATTGCTACTTTGGTACAATATTTTGAAGAATTGGAATCATATATTGAGAAAATCAACTTATATATTGCTAACTCGGTTTCATACACTGACGGTATGGTTTCATATATTGTAAATGTGGATTAATATAATGGATTCCGGTTAAATATGAAGGTGTTTTTAAGTCATATATAGTCTAAGTGAACTTATATAATAATTATTATCCAAATGGTTAAATGAATTGCAAAAGAACAATATCAGACAGTCATGGCTTTCCATATTTTTAGGCTTCTGGACCTCAGTTGATTTCCTTTAATGCCAGTAATAAAATATGTCAGCTGTAAATTGTTGTTCCGTACTTTATGTCACTATTGTCTTATTTTTCTTCGGTATCATTGATTCCAGTACTTTTATTTGTTGATGATTGAACACCGCTTAAAACGATGTTAGTATGTGTGTGAGAGATGCTGCAAACTTTCATTATATCTCAAGAGCAGTCTCAAAAATAAGAATAACAAGAACAGAATGAAAAACGTGTGCCACTTTCTGTAAAATTTAGAAGGTCAAGGTGTCTTAAAAGTCAAAGAGAATGTATTATAACATCAGCTTCTATAGTAGTTAATAAGAGTCAAAGGTAAGTCTCGCTTAATCATTTAATTTTATAGGAAAGGGGACAGTTTTTCTCATTTAGAGAATACTGACAGGGAGTCACTACGAGGGCCACTTTAATCAGGTACACGTGCCGGTACAGGCACGAGGGTATCTGTTAAAAGCGTCTCGGTAACAAAGCAAAAACGACAGCCATTATTTGATTCTTTTATTACATTTTAAATCATGAAAGGGCCATAACTCTGACAAAAATCATTGAACCGGAAAATGCAGGCGATCATTTCTGTAAAGTTTGGCAGCAGTTTTTGAGGAGTAGTCCGGACAAGTTTTGTGGAAGACAAACAGACGATCGGAAAGTGATCCCTACAGTCAATAAATAACAGCTGTATAAATCACTTTTTTAGCATCATTGACTGACTACTTTCTATAAATATGTAAGGTTTTAAAGACATATCATTGATAATTTATAAGATATACTCCGGACAAACATTATTTAACATTTTTAAGTATCATTAAGTGAGAAAATCAAAACCTTAAGCAAAGTAGAATAATCGTTCTTAGACAATGCACTTTAAAACATATTCTAAAAAAACGTAAAGAAGTAAAGAAAATTTATATTTTTTGTAGCATTTTATAATAGGTAAGTAGCTTAATTCACTGCGGATGATCACGTGACCAAAATCGTACAATGGGCTCATAAAATGGCGGCTTAAACGCTCGGTAAAAGCAGTGAAATTGAGGTAAGCATACAGTTAAAGATCCTGTATGCTTTGTGATTGATATTATTACTGTGTGAATACCACACTTGCAAAAATTATAAATGTAAATAATTATGCAAATAAAACAATTTTCAAACATCAAAGGATATGTAAAATGTGTACTGCAAATATTTGTGCACATTATATTTAATCAATCAATTACATGCATTCTTTTCTTATTGAAAAATTTGACTTAGAATTTATGGAAAATAAATTTCTAATTACCTCCCTTGATTTACATGAAATGTTATATCGGGTAATATCTTCATAAATAATGCTTGTTTGAACTTACAATATTGACAAATCTTAATTTGAGCATCATATTTATGAAATAAAACCATGAAAAAAATGTGTTACAGGATCTTTAACGTTATATTTATATGTAAAACTAGGCCGCACGGAACCCCCTGTATAATCAAAGCACTGAATGTACTGATGGGGAGGCTATGACAGAATGTTTCAGACTTATAGTTTTCTTTTCTTTTTGCTTAAAATGTGCTGTTATTTCAATTATTACCAAAATAAGAAGATATGCACATTGTGTCATTTATCCATACTGTTGTGTTCAACCATTCATATATATGGTTAATATGGTTGACTATTCATTTTGTTAATATTCCAGAACATTTCATTGAGGTCTACATTCGGACTGCTAATCCTGCAAATTTTGAAAAACCTAAACTGTCAATAATAAATGACATACCAGAAAGTATGACGACTGTTCATTATAAGATATAACAATAACATTTTACAACTGACTGTTCATTATCAAAATATTCTAGGAATGTTCATGATAAATACTTTATGTCATTTTAATATTATTGAATGATATTAACAACTGCAAGTTATGCAACATTTTTATTGAACATAAAAATTATACATATTTACATGTCATGTACCATAATTGAGATCAATAAGATACTGTCTTGTGATGAGTATTAATATCCATGCTCTACGGACAGAAAGATGTCTTCTTCCGAAGCAAATCTGGAATAAAATCAAGTTTCAGAAAATTATTCCCATTTCATTACTCGTCGCTGACTTTGACGGCTTCGGATATTTATTAAAACTAAATATTTCTTGAAAAAATACATATCTGCAAAGCTTAATATTCAAAGTTGAATCAACCTAAGTGAAAATTGATCAGGAAGTTATATCTTCTTTTTTTACCGCCAACACTCAACCAACTTATGGTAGTTAATAGATAGATTCTACATGTATTTTTAAACCTCACTAGCTTGAAATATAACTGCGAAAAATCTATTGTTAACAGGGTGTGCGGTTATTACGTAGGGTTTTCCCTGTCGACCATTTCCCGCAAATAGATGAGAACATCGAAGCGTCAGTGCTATGAATGGTGTTATAATTTATAAATAGCGTGTTTTGGAAGTTTTTTGTTGAAACTTCTCCAAATCCCTCCAGAGGCGTGCACGTCGCGGAGAATGCACACGGCAGGTCAAGGTCAAGTCATCTCAAGTACCAGAGGTGATTGTTTGTCCTTTCGTGACTTACTCTGGAGGTTTGGCGCTAATGAATGCCGTTTTTGTTGTCGTCAGTCAGGAAGTTGATGCCTTGCCAGTATTGTCGTCTCCTTTACCACCAACGAACGAAGAATGGGCTACCAGGAAGATTCGGCTTGAAAAAGACGTCCTCGATTCTATAATCTCGGACATATGGTTATTCCGGCCCCGAGTATAAATAAACTTAAAACACACACACTTTTGTTGAAAACAAAACAAAAAAACAACAACACATTTTCTGTAGTATTTTTTTCAAGTGTTGTAAAATGAATACGAAATTCCTCTTATGCCGCCGATTATTTTTAGAACATAAACATATAAGTTTTTTTATTTGATTTATTCAAATAAACATTAATCACTTCAGCGCCTGCAAAAATCGTTTTCAAATTAAAGTTTCGTAAGATATGTTGATGAATTCCGATGCTAAACTGTAAGTCATTCGTATATATATATATATGCGTTTTTTTGTTGTTGTTTTTTAAGCCTCTTATTTTTTAATATTTTTTATGTATCTCATAATCTGTATTGAAAATTTGAATTTTATTACACATGGACTAGCAAATTATGATGCGTTGCCCTAGAATTGAATAAACTTTCTAATTACACAATACGGGATCATTCATTTGATTGAAGACTGATCTTTGCGTCTTTCTCTGAAATAATTATTTCCTTGTTAAAACATATTTGACCACATATTTCTGTCATTTAACTGTTCACTTTACAGCTATATGATATGGCGGTTTATGAGCGTTTTCCGCGTACAGCCTCCTAGGGTGTACTAATAAGTTAGTTTTCCTTAGTTATCACGCAAGCACTATCCATGTCTCTGATGTAAGGGACTATTTACCATTATTTGTCTTTAAAAAATATTAAGGACTATTAATGGTTTATATCAACAAAAGAACATGCATGACATTGAGACTACGGTGTTGCAACGTTCTAGTTAATGACCCGTCATAAACAGTTGGTCGCTGCGTAGTAATTGGAAAATTGTTATCAAAAATAATAAAGAATATTTGCCACCTAATAAAAGCATTTTCTTATAAATTTTCATTTATGCTTTTTGTTAAAAAATTATTGATAAAATTATTATGTAGAAGGGTTTTCATACCAGAACTATTTATTACAGACGTACGCATGCCTAAACCTGATTACCGCGGCAGTATGACGTCACGGAGTAGTGATTTTGAAAAAAAATAACAAACAAAAATCAAGAATTTTTCAGAGAATTATTATCTGATATGAAATTAAAGAATGAAAATATTTTCATATTGTAAATGTCTGTGATGAGTGATCAGCCAGCTTAGAAAAAATCAAGGTACTATTTTTTGACCTGATTACCGCGGCAGTAAGATTTGACAGATCGTATTAACATTGGGTCGGCATAGCCTCCCCAAAAACCACGTAATGTTATGTTATTGCTTACTTTGTAGCTCTCTCTGTTTAGGCCTGAAAGTCGAAAAAGTTGTTTTGGGTGATGAGTACAATGACCGAATAGGTATTAAAATTCGTTGTTTTCAATAAAAGAAACGCATTTTGAGCAAAATTAGCAATGACATCATGTGCACAATTGCAAGTTTGCCCGTCATAATCAATTTCCATCCTTTGTAAAGTTGCATAACTAAGTTGTGCATCCTTTTTTAAAAAAACGAGTCACACCATATTAAGTAATTCAATATCTTTACAAGAATCAAAAATTCTGATGTGTTTATTTGCCGGCATTATGGCATATCTTATAAAAGACGATCAGCTTCATGTCGCCACGAGCAGGTACACAAGGGGAAGGTACCCCATTCATGCTGTGGGACATGGTTCCTAAGCTCCAACACCGTAAACACAACATGGAAGCTATATTTACATCAATAGACTGATAGTATTTCTAAATTTTAATTTGTTTCAGTTGTTTCAGAGTAAACAACCATGGCGGAGCAAAATAGCATCAGTGCGAAGAATGTGGCAGTTCGTTTACGACAAAATCTGAGCTTGAGCAACAAAAGTAACAAGTAATTCCACGCTAACCCATTCTAAATTGCAGCACAAAGCTTTTCGAACTAGGGAGATGCTGATTGGTCATCTTTCTTCCCATTCCGGCAAAAAGAAACACAAATGTACTTGTGAAAGAGCCTACATATATAGTCAGGGTTTGAGTTATCACTGCTCAAAGTGTATAATATCAAAGTAAACTCAGTGAAACTTTGTTGTTCTAGTCATTGTCACAAAAGTGTCTCTAATTAGGTCATCAATCTTTGTTTTTGGCCATATCATGATATTATTGTCACGTGCAGAAACGTCAATAAAGCTATAAAGTTGTTAAGTGAATAACTTGTGTTGCTTAAGTTCAGATTTTGTCGCGAACTGACTGCCTGAAACGGTTTTGGTCCGCTCTGAAACAACTGAAACACATTAGATTTTAGAAATACTATCAGATAATTGATGTAAATATGGCTTCCATGTTATGTTTAACAGTCTTGGAGCTTTTATAACCTGGTCTCATAATATTTGATCTCATAAGAAATTTTGTACTTCAACTGAATCCTTTTAGGAACATATGCAATGCCTTCACTTCTCAACACGCAGGGTGCATTGTATGCCGCTGCAAATAATAGGGCAAGATATTGCTTCAGGATTATCATATTTCGTTTTCTTAATACTTTTTCTTTATGTCACCATTTTGTGTTCTTTCCATCTTTTCCACACAAGCCGTTTGTAGAAATATCAGACAGCTATGTACTTCATGTATGATATGTAATTTACAGACCCAGGTTTTTGCAATTTGCCGAAACTTAGAAACAATGTCCCACAGCATTTATAGGGGGCCTTCCCCTTGTGAACCTGCTCGTGACGACATGAAGCTGATCGTCTTCTATACGATTTGCCATAATGCCAGTAAATAAACACATAAGAAATGTCCAATTCCTGTAAAGATATTGAATTACTTAATATGGTGTGATGAAGTATTTAACGATAATATAAGCACAATATTAAAATCTAAAATATACGTTACATGTATATATTCCATACACCATAGATATACGTAAACATGCTTTTAATTTAAAGGAACCACTTTTTTCTGCGTCTGAGATACAAAAAAAAAACAACAACAACAAAAACAAAAACAAAAAAATAGACTTTATTTCCAAAATAATTGACAATTTTATGTATGTAATTGAAACGTATATTTTGCTGGTGAAATAAATTCTATATAATGTACATGTTTGTATTTTAAATACTTTTACGCTGATGTACACGTGTGTTATCAAAGCAGAATACTATTAAGAGGAGAATTTATAGCAAACAAACTGAACTCAAGTACTAGTAATTTAATACTTCTTCCTACTTTTCACTTTCAAATGTCATATCTGTATGATTTCAAAGACAGGAAGCCAGAAAGAAGCATAATTCAATGAAAAATTTACAAAATAGGACAGGCAATAAAATCGTTCGGCCATTGTACTCATTAAATTTGGTTCGACCATGGTACTCGTTTTTTTTAAAAAGATGCACGACTTCGTTATGCAACTTTACAACGGATGAAAATTGATCATGACGGGCAAACTTGCAATTGTGCACAAGATGTCATTGCTAATTTTGCTAAAAATGCGTTTCTTTTACTGAAAACAACGCATTTTAGCACTTGTTCGGCCATTGTACTCATCACCCAAAACATCTTTTTCGACTTCAGGCCTTAACAGAGAGAGCTACAAAGCAACCAATAACAGAACAGTACGTGGCTATTTAGGGGTTCCGTGCGGCCTAGTTTTACATATAAATATAACGTTAACTGTATGCTTACCTCAATTTCACTGCTTTTATTGAGCGTTTAAGCCGCCATTTTATGAGCCCATTGTACGATTTTGGTCCCGTGATCATCCGCAGTGTTCATTATAAATGTAAAATTTCATTTTTAATGGAAAAAATAGCGTCCTTTTAAGCATTCATTCATAAATATGCTAGAATTATGTCGGCTTGTCATAACAAGGAGATTTTAGATGACATTTTCTAGAACCTGTGCAAAACTATTAAATATGGTGGCTATATAATTTATGCCATTCGTGTTTTCGCCCCGCTTTCGACTTTTCGCTCGGCAGGGTCGCGGGGCAAAAACACGAAACGCACAAATCAGCCACCATAATATTACCCAGTTTGATAGACATACACTACAACCAAAAAACTTCAAATGAGGGCTTTTTCTGGGTTTATATTTTAAAGTGTTTACATTCCCCTTTTTTTACCATAATTTTACTTTGTTATTTAATAAAAGGTTAAAATGTTATAGCTAGGCATCGAAGAACTGACTGGTGCATTCAATTATTTTTCCAGTATATGTCGTTTCTCGATGATATACCGACTACAAAAAAGAAACCCAAGACGCCAAAAAAGAAGACACCAGGCGCAAAAGCAAAACCAAAAAAGAAAGAGGGCGTGACAGGTACAAAAAGAAAGGCGGTAACAGCGGGACCATCCACCAGTAAGAAAAAGAAGGCGTATGAAGGCTCTCAAACGGGTCAGGATGGTGAGATCATGTTTGAGGTATTTATTCTTGATATACATTGATATTAGTACCCCGATTTGTGAACCACTATCTCTATCAATATTTCCGAAAATATCATAAAAACATAATATCGTTTTAAATCTAAAGCTGGTGTCGCCTTCTTTTGACAGTTTTCGTAACACTCATTTAAGTACAATTTTTGTCACGTGAGAGAATGACGTCATTATCTGAAGAAAAAGAAATACATGTAGAAGAAAACGGAACTTATTAACGCATATTAATTCCACAATTTTTGAAACATTTATAAATGAAAGTGGAATAGAAATATTATATCTATCCTTTTTTAGGCTACTGTAGTTTTTCAATTAAATTAAATTTAAAATGTAATAATTCTACCATTGTCATTGTAATTCTTTTAATTATTTTGGAAAGCTTTCGATGATGAAGTATTTGACAGTAAATAAAAGGGAACGAAAGGTTGGTATCCGAGAATATTACCATGACAATGGGAAGTTACTGCCAAGTAAAGAAGGTAACTTGCATTTCTTACCGTTATTATTTATAGTAAGCGTTAATAAAAAAGCTATTTGTTTTTATTAAGTTGAAAATTGTTGATCCTCTATATATAATTTCTGTTTCGTTTTTAATTATACCAACAATCAACGAAGTAAACTATTTCTTGGCACCTGTGTCACAGCACCGAAACCTAAAGTACTCTACCTTTCGTTCTCAATGATAACGATATCATTTTGTAAAGTTTATGCACTACTTTCGTAAAACGTTCGTACATTCGAACATTAGTTTTAGTAGTTTCTTTTTTTGAAATACAATAAAAGAATGTATAATTAGCATGTAATATGAAATAAAGTCGTTACAGACGGGACTATGTAGTTCTCGGGTAGCTGTCGAGCGGAAACTCGGAAAAGCCGCTTTAAAGCTAGAAATTCCTATATGTTCTGGCAGTTAATGTAAGATCCTACCTCTCTTGTCGTTGAAATTAACTGATTTGTCCTATTTTTCGAGAAAAAGGTGTTATTACGGGCTCTGTATTCTTAACATTTCAGGAATATCTTTAACTTTGGACCAATACAAAAGGCTGAAGAGTCAGCTAGCAAAGGTTGATAAAGTGTTGAAGGACCTCTCGTAATTTTAGAGTCGAAGTTGCATTCTATTTTTTTTAGCTCACCTGTCACAAAGTGACAGGGTGAGCTTTTGTGATCGCTTTTCGTCCGGCGTCCGTCCGTCCGTCCGTCATCCGTCCGTAAACTTTTACTTTAAATGACAACTCCTCATAAACCACCAAGCCAATTTCATCCAAACTTCACAGGAATGTTCCTTTGGTGGTCACCTTTAAAAATTGTTCAAAGAATTTAATTCCATGCAGAAATCTGGTTGCCATGGCAACCGAAAGAAAAAACTTTAATTATCTCCTTTAAAAAACCCAAAGAGCTAAAGCTTAGATATTTGGCATATAACATCTTCTAGTGAATGTCTACCAAGTTTGTTCAAATAAATGCCCTGGGGTCAAGATTGGCTCCGCCCCAGTGGGTCATTGATTTTCCCTATATGCATTTAGTAAAAACTTAAAAAAATCTTCTTTTAAAGAACTCAAAGAGCTAGAGCTTAGATATTTAGCATGAAACATGTTCTAATGGGTGTCTACCAAGTTTGTTCAAATAAAAGCCCTGGGGTCAATATTGGCCCCGCCCCGGGGTCATTGATTTTCCTTATATGTGTATAGCAAAAACTTAAAAATCTTCTTGAAAAAAACCCAAATAGCTACTTTTTAGATATTAAGCATGAAACATCTTCTACTAAGTATCTACAAAGTTTGTTCAAATAAAAGCCCTGGAGTCAAAACTGGCCCCGCCCCAGGGTTGTCATTGTTTTTAACTATATGTGTATATTAAAAACTTAAAAATCTTCTTTTAAAAAACCCAATGAGCTAGAGCTTAGATGTTAAGCATAAAACATTTTCTTATAGGTGTCTACCAAGTTTGTTCAAATAAAAGCCCTTGGGTTAAAATTAGCCCTGCCAGGGGGGGGGGGAGGTCATTGTTTTTCATTATATATATATATAGTAAAAACTTAACATCTAATGGGTGTCTTCCAATTTTTTTCAAATAAAAGCCCTTGGGTTTAAACTGGCCTCGCTCCGGGGGCCTATATACAGGTGAGCGACCTCAGGGCCATCATGGCCCTCTTGTTATATCTTAACGTTGAAAAAACGTTGATTTTTTTTTATCTTTTTCAATTTTATGTTCTGCTTTGTACAAGGCGTTTTATATTTTTAACTTGTCTGACCTGTAAAACTCTTATCATTGAAACCAATTTTCGATATTCATATATCATATACACACGGGATTGTCTTGAAAAAGGCTTAGCATTCTCACACGGATCCAATGCTCGCGATATTGAACTTCCGGAACACGCCCCAGCAATCAACAAATTACAGTCCAGCTCAGCAACTCATGAACAGGAAAACTAGAACATTGCTTCCGGAAAGATCTTTGAATCTTAAACCGAGTATACCATTTAAATATTTAAGAGAATCTTGACAGAGGTAAGCAAAGGCAAAAGCGTTATTAATGCGAAGTCGTTAGGTCGTTTATGAACCTGGGAAACGGTGAAAATACAACCCCAGGAACGAAACAAAACCTGGGAAAAGGGCATTGTTGTTAGAAAGCCACGTTCATATCATATAAGAAAGGAGGATGGTACGGTAATAAATCGAAATCGACGTCAGCTTCGCAAAACTAACGAACACTTCAATGAGAAGAAAAGGGAAGAAACTGTTACCTACGAATGCTAGCAGTACTTAATCAGTTACCTCTCGTTGAACCTCCTGTTAAATCAACTGGACAATCCGAAATTAAAACCAGATCAGGTCGAGTTATTCGTATGCCAGTGAAATACAAGGACTATGTTACATAATATACAAACTGTAGAAATTGTAAGACTGTGTATAAATGTATCTTATTAACAGTAACAGCTTATTTTTCTGACAGTTGTGATTTTGAGATCATGGTTTGTTTATTTTTGTAAAGTATTTCTTAGTCATCATTTTTTTAATGATTTAATATTCTAAATTGAATAAGATTGGAAATATCTTCTTATTTTTGTAAAAAAGAAAAGATGTAACCGTATTTGATTTACATACTAAGTTCAGACCTTCCCATGATGCTTGAGTTAAACATGTCTGACCTGAAAACCCATATAGCATTGTCTTGGAAATCTTAAAAAGTAAAGGAAAAAGATTGGACAACGATTTTTAAAAACAATAATGTTGAAAAAATATATTGTTGAAGATAAAATATAGAATTGTGCATAATGATAAATGATATTGTTTAACATTTGAACACAATGAAAATTATATATGATAAGGGACTCAACGTTTAGGAACTTGTTTTAGTCATGCAATGCTACGTTAATTTGGTAATACATATGTACAAAAAAATTAATGCAACTACCAAATTTGCGAGGGACATAAATGATGTTGTTCATTTTTGTGTCGTCTCTATGGAGTAGTGCGACATATAGGGATCTCTGCTCCGTCGTATGTTTGTCTGTCCGTCCGTCACAAAACTTGTCCGGACTACTCCTCATAAACTACTGGTGCAATTTCTTCCAAATTTTACAGGACTTATCAGAACCTAGTCTAGTTGTGCATGTCGTCAGCATTTTCTGATTCAATGATTATTTTCACTTTTGTGGCCCTTTAATAATTTTTATTTTTACAGTTTGTCTTAAACCACCGATGCAATTTCATTGAAACTTAACAGGATTGATCTGTAGCTCAAGTCTTTGCGCATATTGCATGTGTTTTCCGATTGAATTATTTTTTGGCCAAATTATGGCCCTTAAATAAAGAAAATAATTTTGTATGTTGCCAGATACACAAAAGTTTGTCCGGAATACTTCTAAAAAACTACTTATGCAATTTCATCCAAACTTTACAGGAATGAGCAGTACCAAGTCTAGTTGTGCATATTATCAGCTTTTATGGTTCAGTGAATTTTGTCCGATTTATGGCCCTTTAATTATTTTTATTTTTTAAAGTTTGTCCGGACTACTCCTCTTATACCACTAACACAATTTCAATAAAACTTTACAGGATTGATTTGTACGTCAACAACTTGCTCACATTGCACGGGTTTTTTGCTTGAATGATTTTTGGCTCAGTTTGGCCCTTGAATGAAAAGCGTGTTATTAAAGTTTTTCCGGACTACTCCTCTTATGCAACTGATGAAATTTCAATGAAACTTTACAGTTTTCAGGATTGATTGGTAGGTCAATTACTTGTGTACAATACACCAGTTGTTTTGCTTGAATTAAATGATTTTAGCTGAGTTATTGCCCTTGAAAAAAATGTGTTTTTTGTGTGTTGCCAGCTACACAGAGGTTTGTGTGGACTACTTCTCAGAAACGACTGGTGCAATTTTATCGACACTTTGAATGATCAATGGGGAATGATCAATACCATGTCTTGTTGTGCATCTCATCAACATTTTTAGGTTCATTGATTTTTGTTTTGGCAAAACACAGGTTTTTACGTTGAATGATTTTTTGCCGATGTATGGCTATCATGAGGTGACACATGTCACCACTGATGACCCTTGTATTGCAATATCCCCTTATGCAAAACTTTATTGAAATATTATATTTCATTTATCCAATTATTCTACATACATGTTTTTCTAATTGACCAATCGCCAGGTTTTTGAACCTCACATGACCGTTAAAATTATAAAGCAGTAGTATTGTATGCACAAGAGCACAAGAATTGTGTTAAGCGGCACCTGAGTGTTAAGGTTCAGAATAAACCAGACTCGAAGAGAAGTTCTTAACATTTTATTCAATTTTTTCTTTGTAATTTTAGAACAAAAACAAAATAGAAAAACTCAAGTCAAGTCAAATATGTTATTGGTAGAAACAAATTCGTTACGGTAACAAACAAGGAAGAAATCGTCAATGTACCCACGGATACCCACGATTCATTAACATGTAACATAACAGAAATGTTAATGGTTCGGGCGTGGGTATCCGACGATGATAAGGACAAGATGAATTAAATTATTATACATGTATATGGTTTATCCATTGTTTATATTTCCGTCTTGTACAGTTTATTTGAAATAACCTATAATTATGTATCATATATGATTATTGCATTGTTGTAAAGTAACTATAACTTTGGGGAGCGGTGGCCTAGTGGTTAAGGTGTCTGCCTCTCAACCCAGAGATCATGGGTTCGAGCCCTGCTCGGGTCACGACCATGTTTCTTCATATGACACCAGTACTGGTTGGTTCCAGGAAGCGGACTCGAAAGTGATTAATATAAGTTGCAAGAACTTGTTTCGCAATCGAGCTTAAATAATTATGTTTAAACCAACTATAACTTTATATGATTAACATAAACGTTCGAATCAATGTTTTAAATCATAGTAAATAATAATAAAATTAAAATCGCGATTCATGTTCTTACTAGAATGTTTATTTTCATTAAAAAATAAACTAAAAAGTTTTCATGAAATCGGAATTTTTATTTTACTTTAAATTTATTGTATTGCATGCATAAATAAGTACATTTAATGGAATTTTGAATGATGTTTTATATGCAAATCAAATGCATTAAAATTTCTGCTCTTTGATTTCTACGTTTTATTCTCCATATGAGTTTTTTAAGTCCACTTATACAATAATCTTGCAAAAACTATATTGTATTGTTATCTATAATTCCCAGCTTATGATGAGAGCCCAGTCAGTCTCTGATTAAGTCAAACAGAACCAAGATTCAAGATTTCAAGATTCAAGATTTATTCAAAACCAAGGCATATAATATGCATAAGGTTATGATATATCAACAATATAATGAACAGTTATTCAAAAGTAATTAACAAAACATGTAAACATAAAATTATATAATAAGGAAATCAATTTGACTAACATATAACATATGACTAGACTCTACTTTTTGGACATGATTTGTCTTATACAGAAGTTATCTAAATTGTTTCTATGTAAATACATTCATAAAGTTGAAAAATTAATGACTTACGGGAGAATGAGTTATTTAAATTTTGAAATAATAATTTTGCAGAATAATGCAAGTTTTAATAAAATTGAATGGTCAAAGCTATTCATTAAAGATTCTAATTTATAAATATTAGGATGATTTGAGAATTTCGAATCAATAAACTTTTTACGAAGAGAGTTAAAAAAGTGACATTCAAATAAGTAATGGAATTCATCCCCAAGAGATTGTTTTGGACATAAATGACATATTCTTTGATTTCTTTCAATATGTAAATGTCTACCTTTCTCTATAGGTAAAAGGTGGTTCATAGTTCTGAATTTACAAAGTATTCTACAAAGATTGAAAGGTAATATATCTAAGTATTTCTCAAAACAAAAATCTTTCTTATACACACGATAAATTAAACATTTAGAAGATTCATTTACGGTTCCTTTCCAGTTCTGTAAGAACTGGTCTTTCAATCTCTGTTTCACAATAGTTTTAAAACTATTCAAGTTACCAACATATTGATCACAAAAATAGTTTGATAAGCCAAGCTCATCAAGAGTATTTTTAACAAATGAGATCCAAGGAGAAGTCATGACATTATTAACATGTAAAGAAAGAACTGTATTATACAATATTTTACATATTTTATCATTTTTTGAGGTTATCAACTTACTCCAATAACACAATATTCTTGTTTTAACCTGCAGTACTAGGGGACAAAGTCCTGTTTCCCCATATATCATACAATTGGGCGACTACCCCAACCAAACGTCATTTCCGCTTCAGTATAATCAATTGGAACACCTCGGCGATTATACGTAATTACTGTCTGTAGCCCACATGTGTTCGAGGTTTTTTTCTGGTATGTGACGGAAACGAACGATTTTGATATCCAGATTCTACACATAGGTTAAGAAATAAAAACAAAAACATCTCAACATGATCATCAATATAATATCTAAGACCTTACGAGACATTTATACGGTGGTCTTCGTTCTATGTCAACAATACACGCACAAAACCGATATATACTGTACCAGAACGCCACTTCGTAAGAGAATAGTAGCTTGCAAAATACAACAAATGTGTACGCAATAAAGGATGGATTGCATGATGCTCTGCATGAAAGCCAGACGCCCTTTTATTCGTCCTTTGGCAAATAACAACGTCTGAAAACGCTCAAGTTGGGCCCCTGACCATATCAAATAAAGACCCAGCAATTGCACCCCTGTTTTATTTACTGAAGGAGAAGACCAGAAAGGAACGTTCTGCACCTGCTTTTATCTCGGAACATGACCGATATTGTGGAGAGTCTCTCATGGTTCTAGGGAGAAAAAGTGTCATTCGCAAACGGACCTTCGGGAGAAAAAGTATCAGTGGTGGCAAACGGACTTTCATATTTTTTTGTATCGGCAAATTGACAGCAGAAAGGTATTTCCCGAGATTCTTGACGTACATGTACGACAATATGTTGATGCTGTTAGTTGATTTCTATGCAGGGTAAACTGCCCTCTTTACTATTTTTAGCCCGCCAGAATTCCACTGGTCCCACTAAACACTGCTTAGGACTGCTAATGCGCACAAAGGACTGCTTAAGAGCCACAAAAGACCTTAAATACCTCCTAGGATCTTCTTATTAATTTTAATCCTATCAAAAATCAATTTAATAAATGGTATTTTAGTGATGTAAAGTATGTTTTCGGTGAGATAAATTGTTACACAAAGGCACAAAGGACTACTATTGAGGTATTAGGTGTATTACAAAGTACTAAGGTCCGTGATATTGCTAGTAATATATATTTAAGTATATCTTTAAATGATCGAAATGAAATATTTTAAGAAAAAACATAATTTTGTTGATAGAATTATGCTTTCGATTAGTTGCAGGACCGCTTGGTATTGATTAGGAGACACACATAACAGCTAATGACACTTTTAAAGGACCTTAAAATACCTCCTAGGGCGTGCTTATAATATGTATTTAGTGATATAATGTATTATTTTAAGAAAAAAATATATATTTTGGTGATAGAAATGATTATTTTCGTTGAGTTGCAAGACTGCTACGGACTGCTACGGACTGCTAAGAGGACACAAAGGACTGCCCTTTTAAGATACTTGTTCAGCAGGATAAGTGAGTGGTTTTCCATTTTCATCGTTAATGTATTGAGTTTGAGAATGAGTATTTTTCCCTGATATGTTTTAATTTTGCCACATTTTTGTTCAATCTTTTTTGTTTTCATTGATTACTGAAAAAGTTCTTTTTAGCTTCTGCAGTAAGTTACTTGACTTTTGAGCGAAGTATTTTATAAGTATCACATTTACCGGCCTGTTTTGCTTTATCTCTTTCTTTAATTGTTTCGGCTATTTCATGAGTGAACCAGTCTGGCTGATTTACATGTTTAACCCGCTTTGTTATGTGTGGTGCATGACTGTTTAAGACTGATTTTAAGGTATTTATAAAATAGTATAATGCATCATCAATAGCGGTAAATATTTCAAGTACTGACCAAGGTTGATTTCTGTAATTCAATGAAATATTCATTTTCGTTAAATTTTAAATTTCTATAAGTTATTACAGAATATACAGGTCCATGAATTACAGTAGCATCACTCTGAGATAAATGTTCTTTGGTATTTCCAGAATTTCGATTGTTGATTATGTCTTGAAATTTTGCAGCAGGATGTGATTTAATTTGGGTGTCCAAGATTTCTGCTGAGAAAGTATTTCTATTGATAATTTTTGTCACTGAGTCTCAAAGAAATACAGATGTTTGGTTTTCGGTTGGGATCTATCGATGCAACATGGGTGTTTTCTTGTAATTCTGATGCAGTTACTTTGTCAGTAGGAGGATGAGTTAAGGTTGTGTTATACTTCTGGATTTGAGCTTGAGGTTTCCTTTAACTGTTTTCGTCATATTTTGAGAGATGTTTATTCAGCTTTACCACTTCAGCTTGAAGTAGATACAGGTCTGTATTTGATGGCAAATTGACAGTTCTGCTCTGAAGAAGCTGGAGTGTTGAAGCTTGTGAACAGCATATAATAATTCATATTGAAATTGATATTGAAATCAGAAAAAAATGGAATTTGATATTAAATTTCTTTCTTCCCATCAGATATTAATTTATAACATAGTTTAATGTTGTATTTACAGGTATATATATTGTTTGTTCATAATAAATAATGATCACAAAGTATGTAAGAAATGATAATAATATTCACAATTAAGACCACCCCGCAATTAAGACCACTTTGGTCCATTCCCGATGATGGTCTTAATTGAGGGTTTTTACTGTAACTAATTATCTAGTGTACGTCGGGTATATCTGTAAATTACAAGATCACATTGACGGCTTCTTTATTTGAACACAACATATCCTCCTTAACGGAAAGTGTCGAACTGTTGCGCGATTGCAATTGATTGCATTTAAAACATACGACAAAACACGGATCTTTATCAATTGCATGATAGCCGAGGTAATCGGAATATGTCATGTTAACAATAAGTTTGTCGTGTTTAAATATCCTGGTTTAAAAAGCGAAGGTCAAAAAATGGATTATTTATATAAATACATGTTTACGGTATTATGAATATTATTATTTTACTTCTGAATGATATACAAAGTTACTTATATAGCAACTATAATAGACAATCTCCTTAAATTGATATTTCGTTCAAGTGTTCATTATTATAAACATTAAAGTAAAAAGTCGGGGCGACGCAGCCGCAGGACCAATTCAATTTTGTAAATATGCTTAAAATCTACTTAAACCGATTTTAATAGAAAACCGATTTGAAAGTAAATCATTAGTTTGTTAGTTTTCATTTGAAATACTGCAATATGATTAGCAAACATAAAACGGTTATTCATTTTCAAAAAATGTTATGTACTGAAGGAAATGTATTCATTTTCATTTGAAATACTGCAATATGATTGTATTAAATATAATTTCGAACACGAAACGTTTTTATTTTCAGAAAATGATAGCTAAATTCAAAATGTATGCATAACCTGGTCACTTCGGAGATATGACGGATTGTATTGTTTTACTTTTTATCTTGATATGGGCTTTATCAGTGTTTTACATTGCAATTGATTTATTTACACTTTTGCCCTGATTTATGTTAGATGTGATATACCAGCGGAACAGAAGTGTTCGCAAAATGATTTTTAAACAATTATTTCATATAGATATTAAAAAACCAAAGTTCATCAAATAAAATGTGAAAAGTAATATAGAAAAGGCATTTTGCAGACATTTCATTCAAAATTTGACTTTGAAGAAATCTGCTATGCATGCCGAACATCTGTCGGGTATCACTCCGAATTGCAAAAGCTGATCAGTCCGACAAGGTCGTCCAAAAGATTTATCCTTTATTTTGGCGGCAACACATATTTCTTCTCCATGATGCAGAATATAATAATCCCTATCGGCCTCCTGTACATGAAAATAGTAAATATTACAAAATCGAATTTAAAACATAATTATTTTGTATAATTCAGTAATTATTTGTTGCACTCAAAATTAAAAGGCCACCTTTTGGCAGATTAAGGACATAAATGATGACCTGTCCGGGGTCCGTACTCTCAATGCCCCATGGACACCAGTTAAGCATATAATTAAAGGTTTTACCAATCTAACACATCAGTATTTTTTTAAACAAGAAAGAATTATTACACGGTGAGTATCCATATCGGTACCCCCTTTGCGAAATCTACTGAAACGGTATCTTAAAATATGCACAGAAAAAAATCGGCGACCTATACACATTCAGAGATTGTTCATTCTACTGGTGGTTAAATAAGAAGCACAAAACATATACAATATCGCAATGTTTTGCCTCGCCCACCCCTTCTGTAATGAACCAGGGATTTGATAATGCACAATGCATAATAAGATTTAATGCATCAACTTCCGTTTTCAACTTCATTATTTAAAAAAAAAAAAGCAAACATTTACATTAATGAATACAAAACATCAGTATTTATACCCCAGCAGTGCTATTTAAAAAGACTTTGTGTTGTCTTACAACTTTTACCTTCAACGTATACGCATTTTTTCTAAACGTTTTGTGTTGCCCTTTTGTATTATAGTAGCGAGATTCTCTCATGAAACATTTTTGCGCCTTTCAACGTTGAATTTCTCGCATGGTTAACTGACCACGAGAAATGTAATGTAAACACAAACGCGATTCCTAACTTTAATTTTCGCATGTTTCTTTCGTAAACTGTAGCTTATTTGCGGTATCAGTAACTATAGCGGATCCGAAGTTTTCCGAAAGAGTATGTTTAATATGGCTACCTATCTATTACCATGAGGAGTGCACTCGACTATTCTCATTGCTGTGATAGTTAAAGAAGAAGAGCCTGAATAATGTAGAATTTCCTACGTTCAAAAAGGACCATAGTTCTGTCAAAATACTGATTAGAGTTTTAATTAGGTCTTTGATATTGACCTATTATGCTCTCAAAATAAGTGTGTGAAGTATCAATCAATTTTCTTCAGTAGTTTTGATGATACAAACTTGCACACAAATATTTTAACCAAATTGTGACGCCAACATCGACTCTTGACCGAGTACAATAGCTCTTCATACTCCAAAAGTCAGGCTAAAACAAGATATTTAATCAGTCGTAACCAACTATAAAGGTTTAATTTTTAACTTTGAATACTGTTTTCATTATAATGGTAGTACTTGATGGTGATCGCCTTCATGCACTACTTTTTACCAACAATAATAGAGGACATAAGAAGGGCATGAGATAGTGCTTTTTTAACAATTAAGATATTGCAAGTTCTTTTTGTTTATTACAAAAAATAGAATTTCCCTGCACTTAACCAGACTTTAAACTGGATTTTGCCATTCATGGACTGTACATAGAACCTTGCAAAATATTTACGTCGGTCTTCAGAAACTAATCACATTCAAGGGAGATATTATTATGGTTATCATTTTTAGTTTTATTGATAATAGTTCTTAAAAAATAAATTAGCCAGTGTAAATCGATGCATGTGTGTCTGTTTAGACGACAAGAAACATCGATAGCTTTACATACTACTAATAAATAGGGTGCTCCCAGTCACTTTTAGGTCTTCCCAGGTTGAAGTATGAATGAATAAATATGTGGGACATGTCAGGTGTGTATAAACATTTGTGACGCTATATAGCGATCAAGATGCTAGCATAGTGTCAAGTTTTGTTGTATTCTCTTTAATAGTATATTACTTAATTATAAACATCAATTAGAATTTCATCTTGCTGTCTCTTATTTGGATAAAAATTGCTTGATATAGGTACGTTACACTATTATATCGTAAAGAGCCATCAAGAAATAATACTAAATGTCTATACTATCCAAGCTTGAGGACACTAATCTTTCCTCAAGACGATCTTTTACTTTATAAAGTTTTTGCTTTCTGTTGCCATGGCAGAACAAAGTTTTTTTCAAGAAATGGAATTATTTTAGTAATTAAACAGTGACATAACAATATCAAAGGAGAATTTGTTTTAGAGTCATTTTATATTTTACCATCGGACCAAAGCTTTGTATATTTGAGAGATTTCGCTAAAAGTGCAAATAAAATCTCATATTTACACCAGTCTCCTAGTTTTCAATGGTCAGATAAACGGTTCATTCTTTAAAATATAACAGAAGTGACAAATATAGCCAATTTCTTTTGCTCCTTTGTGAAAATGTAACTGCATTTTGAGCTAAGTTTTACTTGGTAGTCTTTTGTATTTTGTATTCTTTCCGAACGATCTTTTTCTCAAATGTACTTATCCTGCATACTCTTGCATCACGTAGTGTCTCTCTATAAATATAGTAAGAATAGCTTTTGTTTTCTAATATAGGCTAAAAAACAAGTTCAGGTGCAGAAAACGTCGAAAGGAAAAGCACGTTCAAAGAGTCACTCTTCGAGCTCCCGGGTATGAATTATCACAAGTTTTGCTTTAAATATATCACAAAAACATTTTTATCTGATGATATTTATGATAACACTTCCGCTATTACTCGTGAACATTTATTCTGATAATATTTATACGAAAAGTCAAGAACTCAGTACCTGTATATATGGTGTAAAGTAAGTTCTAATTGACAGTATCATAAAACGGGTAAACTTTTAAAAGCACATACTTTTTTACAATTCCTTTTCTAACGTTGTTGTAACTATGATTTAAAAATCGGAGAGAAATTACGAAATTCTATAATTTTTTCTATCACGTTTTTCTAATTATAGTTCAAGTAGCTTTAACATATATACAATTTCAATTATAATTGATACATGACCTCATGCTAAGTATTCGTTCATAATAATGCTGGAATTATGTCGGCTTGTCTGACAATTCTAGAACCGGTGCAAACACTATTAAACGCAGTCTAATAGACATACACGTACAACCAACACTTTAGATTAGACGGTTAAAATCATGTACTGGATATATTGAAATTTTCTGCTTATATTTAGAACTATCTTTCTGCCATAAATCTGTCATTTAATTTGTTACCAAAAATTGGTTAAAATGTAATTAGAATCAAAGAACTTGTGCATTTAATTCTTTTTCCAGTTATTTTCGTTTCTTGGTGATTTATCGACCACAAAGAAAACACCGAAAAAGAAGACACCAAGCGAGAAAGCAAAACCAAAGAAGAAAGAGGGCGTGACAGGTGCGGTACAAGCGGGACCATCAACCAGTAAGAAAAAGACGGCGTATGAAGGCTCTGGAATGGGCCATGGTGGCGAGATCATGTTTGAGGTATTTATTGATATACATTGATATTAGTACCTCAACTTGTGAACCACAATCACCATCAATATATCCGGAAATATCTTAATATCGCTTTAAATCTAAAGCCGGTGAAGACTGGGAAGAACTTGAGAAAAGGATCTGCTATGATTGCCGAACATCTGTCGGGAAAAACTCCGATTTGATCAGTCCGACAAGCCCGTCCAAAAGATTTTATCTTTATTTTGGCGGCAACAAATATTTCTTCTCCATGATGCAGAAAATATTAATCTATATTGGCCTCCTGTACATTTAAATAGTAAATATTACAAAATCGAATTTAATAGAGAAATACAGAATCCCTAAAGAAAGCCCAACACGACAAAATTGAAAATGTTGCAGGCTCGGTTGATTGAGCCTGTTCATGGACGGTAATGGAAAGTGCAAGTTACCGTCCACGCCCCCTAGCACCGGCTTAAGCAGAATTCAACATTTAACACATAAAACATATTTAAAATATATTTTGTATAATTCAGTAGTAAATTGCTGAACTCAAAATTAAAAGGCCACCTTTTGTCAGATTTAGGACATAAATGGTGACCTGTCCGGGGTCCGTAATCTCAATGCCCGGGTGTCCAATGGACACCAGTTAAGCAGACAAGTAAAGGTTTTACCAATCTAACACATCAGTGTTTTTTTTCAAACAAGAAAGAATTATTACACGGTGCGTATCCTTATCGTATCCCCTTGCGAAATCTACTGAAACGGTATCTTAAAATATGCGCTGAAAACAAATCGACGACATATACACTTTCATAGAATGTTCATTCTACTGATTAAAGATTACATGTAGTTGAAAAAGAAGTATACCGCGGAACATTAGAATGATTAAACTAATTCATTCTTAGGAATGTGTCACAAAAACCTACACAATATCGCGATGTTTTGCCACGCCCCCCCTCTGAAATGACCCAGAGATTTGATTATGCACAAAGCATAATTAGATTGATTGCAACAATTTTCGTTTTCAACTTCAGTCTGTTTTTGTAAAAAGCAAATATTTACATAAATGAATACAAAACATCAGTATTTATACCCCAGCAGAGTTATTTAAAAATACTTTGTGTTGTCTTACAACTTTTACCTTCAAAGTATACGCATTTTTTCTAAAAGTTTTGTGTTGCCCTTTTGTATTATAGTAGCGAGATTCTCTCCGCCTTTCAACGTTGAATTTCTCGCATGCTTAACTGCCCACGAGAAACATAAACGCGATTATAAACTTAAATTTTCGCATTTTTCTTTCGTAAACTGTAGCTTATTTGCAGTACCAGTAACTATAGCGGATCCGAAGTTTTCCGAAAGAGTATGTTTAATATGGCTACTTATCTATTACCAAGAGGAGTGCGCTCGTTATTCTCAGTGCGGTGATAGTAAAAGAAGAGTCTGAATAATGTAGAATTTCCTACGATCAAAAAAGGACCATAGTTCTGTCAAAATACTGATTAGAGTTTTAATTAGGTCTTCGATATTGACATATTCTGCTCACAAATAAGTGTGTGAAGTATCAATCAATTTTCTTCAGTAGTTTTGGGAATACCAATTTGCACACAAATATTTAACCAAATTCTGACGTCAACATCGTCGCTTGACCGATATAGCTCTCCATACTCCAAAAGTCAGGTTAAACAAGATATTTAATCAGTTGTAGACACCATTGCAACCAAATTTAAAGGTTTGATTTTTTACTTTGAATGCTGTTTTCATTATAATGACAGAACTTGATGGTGATCGCCTTAATGAATTACTTTTTTACCAACAATAATAGAGGACATAAGAAGGGCATGAGATACTGCTTTTTTACATTTAAAATTGCAGGTTCTTTGTGTTTATTGCAAAAAAAAAAAAGAATTTCTCTGCACTACACCATACTTTAAAAATTGATTTTGCCATTCATGGACTGTACATAAAACTTTTACTTTGGTCTTCAGAAATTGTACACATTCAAGGGAGATATTATTATCGTTATCATGTTTTGTTTTATTGATATACGTTCTTTAAAAATAACATGCCAGTGTAAATCGATGCTTAATGTTTAGTCTGTTTGGACGACAAGAAACATCGATAGCTTTACATACTAGTAATAAATAGGGTGCTCCCAGTTCCCTTTTATGTCTTCCCAGGTTAAAGTAAGAATGAATAAATATGTGGGACATGTCAGGTGTGTATAAACATTTGTGACGGTATATAGCGATCAAGATGCTAGCATAGCGTCAAGTTTTGTTGTATTTGCTTTAATAGTATATTATTCTATATCTTCAAACTCATTTAGATCTTCATCTTGCCGTCATCATTTAGATAAAAATTGCTTGAGATAGGTACGCTACACTATTATATCAAACTTGGTAGAGAGCCATCAAGAAATAATACTAAATACCAATACTAACAAAGCTTGAGGACACAAATATTTCCCCAAGAAGATCTGTTACATTTTAAAATTTTTGCTTTCTGTTGCCATTGCAAAACAAAGTTTTTCAAGAAATAGAATTATTTAAGCAATTAAACAATGGCATAACAATATCAATGGAGAATTTGTTTTAGAGTCATTTTATATTTTTTCCATCGGACCAAAGCTTTGTATATTTGAGAGATTTCGCTAAAAGTGCAAATATAATCTCATATGCACATCAGTCTCCTAGTTCACAATAGTCAGATAAACGGTTCATCCTTCAAAATATATCAGAAGTGACACATATAGACGATTTGTTTTGCTTCTTTGGGAAAATGTAACATTTTGAGCTAAGTTTTGACTTGCTAGTCATTTGTATTTTGTATTCTTTCCAAACGATCTTTTTCTCAAATGTCTTTACATAAATTATTCATGCATCACGTAGTGTCTCTCTCTAAATATAGTCAGAATTGTTTTTGTTATCTAATATAGGCTCAAAAACAAGTTCATCTGCAGAAAACGTCATTCAATGATTGTTTCCAACAACAAGAATCGAAAGAAGAAAAACTTTCAATGAGTTACTCTTCGAGCTCCGAGGTATGAATTATCACAAGTTTTGCTTTAAATATTACACAAAAACATTTTTATCTTAGGGTATGATAACACTTCCGTCATTACTCGTTAAAATTTATCCTTATAATATTCATATGAAAAGTCAAGGACTCAGTACCTGTATATATGGTGTAAAGTAGGTTCTAATTGACAGTATCATGAAACGGGTAAACTTTTAAAAAGACACACAATCTTTTTTATTTAGTTGTTTTAGAGTCATTTTATATTTTTTTCCATCGGACCAAAGCTTTGTATATTTGAGAGATTTCGCTAAAAGTGCAAATAGAATCTCATATGTACAACAGTCTCATAGTTTTCAATGGTCAGGTAAACGGTTCATCCTTCAAAATATATCAGAAGTGACAAATCAAGCCAATTTGTTTTGCTCCTCTGTGAAAATGTAACTGCATTTTGAGCTATGTTTTGACTTGGTAGTCATTTGTATTTTGTATTCTTTCCAAACGATCTTTTTCTCAAATGTCTTTACATAAATTTTTCATGCATCACGTAGTGTCTCTCTCTAAATATGGTCAGAATTGTTTTTGTTATCTAATATAGGCTCAAAAACAAGTTCATCTGCAGAAAACGTCATTCAATGATTGTTTCCAACAACAAGAGACGAAAGAAGAAGAACTTTCAATGAGTTACTCTTCGAGCTCCCAGGTATGAATTATCACAAGTTTTGCTTTCAATATTGCACAAAAACATTTTATCTTAGATAATGATAACACCTCCGTCATTACTCGTTAAAATTTATCCTTATAATATTCATATGAAAAGTCAAGGACTCAGTACCTGTATATATGGTGTAAAGTAGGTTCTAATTGACAGTATCATGAAACGGGTAAACTTTTAAATGGACACACAACTTTTTTATTTAGTTGTTTTAGAGTCATTTTGTATTTTTTTCCATCGGACCAAAGCTTTGTATATTTGAGAGATTTCGCTAAAAGTGCAAATAGAATCTCATATGTACATCAGTCTCATAGTTTTAAATGGTTAGATAAACGATTCATCCTTCAAAATAAATCAGAAGTGACAAATCAAGCCAATTTGTTTTGCTCCTTTGTGAAAATGTAACTGCATTTTAAGCTATGTTTTGACTTTGTAGTCATTTGTATTTTGTATTCTTTCCAAACGATCTTTATCTCAAATGTCTTTACATAAATTTTTCATGCATCACGAAGTGTCTCTCTCTAAGTATAGTCAAAATTGTTTTTGTTATCTAATATAGGCTCAAAAACAAGTTCATGAGCAGAAAACGTCATTCAATGATTGTTTCCAACAACAAGAGTCGAAAGAAGAAGAACTTTCAAGGAGTCACTCTTCGAGCTCCGAGGTATGAGTTATCACAAGTTTTACTTTAAATATTACAAAAAAACATTTCTATCTTAGGGTATGATAACACTTCCGCCATTACTCGTTACAATTTATCCTTACAATATTCATATGAAAGGTCAAGGACTCAGTACCTGTATATATGGTGTAAAGAAGGTTCTACTTGACAGTGTCATTAAACGGGTAAACTTTTACAAGGATACACAACTTTTTTAAAGAAAAAAAAAATGTCATCATATACAAACGTGTTTGCAAAAATACAATGCAAATTTCTATTTTCTTTTGAGGAACCACTGCAATTATCAGATGTTGTATTTCATAATGATTAACCTTTTGCAGCGTAAAATATGTACACATTGTAAATTTCACAATGTAAAATAGAAAAATACAGAAAAATACAGAATCCCAAAGGAAAGCCCATCACGACAAAATTGAAAATGTTGCAGGCTAGATTTGATTGAGCCTGTTCATGGACGGTACTGGAAAATGAAAAAAATGATAAATACAGAATCCCTAAAGAAAGCCTAACACGGCAAAATTGAAAATGTTGCAGGCTGGGTTTGATTGAGCCTTCACAGACGGTAATGGAAAGTGCAAGTTACCGTCCACGTCCCCTAGCACCGGCTTAAGCAGAATTCAACATTTAAACATGAAATAGTAAAATTTGAATTTAGAAACCTCCGCAGATGTGTTCATACGGCAGTTATCATGGAACCTTCAGTTACCGTCCACGTCCCATAGCACCGGCTTAAGCAGAATACAACATTTCAACACGAAAAATGGTGAAATTTAGAATTTAGAGACTTCTGCAGATGTGTTCATACGGCGATTATCATGGAACCTTCAATGTGACACATTAGTGCCATTCCATGAAAAGCGGCGTATGGACCTCAAGTAAAAGAATGCGTCTGCCCTAAACGAGAAGACAATGGTCGGAACTAAAAATGGAATTCTGAAAGGGGATCTGAGTTTATGAAGCCTGCGTATCACAGACAAGACGTCAAAAGACAAATTTAAATAGCAGGCAACAAATTCTAAGGGTGATTATACAGTATTCAAGTTAGAATACTGGAACCACCGAGTTGAAAACGGCCAAAAAGAAGAAACCAAAAGCACATCATAACAAGTATACACAACAAGAATGTTGTGCCGAACGACCCTCAAGAATAAAAAAAATAACATCATTGATTAAATGCACGGGGAGACTTTTTACAGCCGCCACACTGCACAAATAACACGGATGTGACAATAAAATAGAGAAATACAGAATCCTAAGGAAAGCAAGTCGAACATGTTGGGCATCTGAAGTAGAATTACTACTTGATACTTATGCCGATGTCCATGATCCTGTATTTAAAAAAAAATGATAATGTCTGTTAATGACTGTTATAAAATCTGACAGCTGTAACGTGACCCTTACTATATCTCACTGTGGTCTTTCGGGATCATCAATTGAGGATTGAATACCGCCTAAAACGGTGCTAGTGTGTGTGAGGCATATAGACTTAAAGCTATGATGAGGACGTAGGTCAATGACAAGGTCAAGTCAAGGTCACTTTAAGGCAAATCATGCCTCGGAAATTCGTAGTTTTTATCTTGAAATATCAAACATGGTTTAAAAATTAAATGTTAAATTGTTAATTAAGAGCATGTTTAACTTAGATGTTTATCAGCTGGACAAGCATTTAAACATAAACACGATTATTAACTTTAATTCTCGCATGCTTCTTTTGTAAATTGTAGCTTATTTGCAATACCAGTAACTATAGCGTAGGTTTTCCGAATGAGATGTGCTGTGATAGTAAAACAAGTTCAAAAAGGACCATAGTTCTGTCAAAATACTGATTAAAAGTTTTTATTAGGTCTTTGATATTGACCTATTATGCTGTAAAATAAGTGTGTGAAGTATCAATCAATTTTCTTCAGTAGTTTAGGGGATACCAACTTGCACACAAATATTTAACCAAATTGTGACGCCAACATAGTCGGTTGACCGATATAGCTCTCCATACTCCAAAAGTCAGGCTAAAACAAGATATTTAATCAGTTGGAGACACCATTGCAACCAAATATAAAGGTTTAATTTTAAACTTTGAATGCTGTTTTCATTATAATGGTAGTTCTTAATGTTGATCGCCTTCATGCTCTACTATTTTACTAACAATAATGGAAGACATAAGAGGGGCATGAGATACTGCTTTTTTACAATTAAGATTTTGCAAGTTCTTTGTGTTTATTCATTTCCCTGCACTGCACCAGTTGTACATAGAACCTTGCAAACTATTTACGTTGGTCTTCAGAAATTTAGCACATTCAATGGAGATATAATTATGGTTATCATTTTTAGTTTTATTGATATTAAGTCTTAAAAAATGAATTTGCCAGTGTAAATCGATGCATGTGTAGTCTGTTTGGATGACAAGAATCATCGATAGCTTTACATACTAGTAATAAATAGCGTGCTCCCAGTCCCCTTTTAGGTCTTCCCAGGTTGAAGTATGAATGAATAAATATGTGGGACATGTCAGGTATGTAAACATTTGTGACGCTATATAGCGATCAAAATGCTAACATGGCGTCTAGTTTTGTTGTATTCTCTTTAATAGTATATTATACTATATCATCAAACTCATTTAGATCTTCATCTTGCCGTCATCATTTGGATAAAAATTGCTTGACATAGGTACGTCAAACTTGGTAGAGAGCCATAAAGAAATAATACTAAATGACAATAATATCAGAGCTTGAGGACACACATATTTCCCCAAGAAGATCTTTTACATTTTAAAGTTTTTGCTTTCTGTTGCCATTGCAAAACAAAGTTTTTTAAGAAATGGAATTATTTAAACAATTAAACAATGGTGTAACAATATCAAAGGAAAAGTTGTTTTAGAGTCATTTTATATTTTTTCCATCGGACCAAAGCTTTGTATATATGAGAGATTTCGCTAAAAGTGCAAATAGAATCTCATATGTACATCAGTTACATAGTTTCCAATGGTCAGATAAACGGTTCATCCTTCAAAATATATCAGAAGTGACAAATACAACCAATTTGTTTTGCTCCTTTGTGAATCAAAGCACTGAAAGCACTGGAGGGTCGCTTGCGCTGACAAATTTATATGACATTATACCGCTGATGATCACTTGATAGGCCAACTTTCCAGTCAGATTTTAGCGTTTGCAACTTTTTGAATAAGTTCATGACATATTCAAGTGGAAATGATTAAGTACAAAGGAAAGTGCAATATGTTGCCATATGATTTAATTCAGGTTGATTTATCAATCCAACAATTACAACACGGTCTATCAAAAGTACTAAAAACCAGTATCTTTTCTCAAGTGCTTCAGTTGAGATCGAAAAATATCTTCAAAATAATACTTTGAAAGTTTAATAAATTTTAAGAGTACACTAATAACAGAAGCAGAAGCTGGAAGTATATATCCAAGTCCTCTATTAAACAATGGATAAGCTTTGTTAATTTCATCTACTTATATGGCATATGAAAAACATGCTCATTCTTTGGGAGTATAGTTATTATCAATCTGATATACAAGTTATCATTAACCCATGTGTATATAGACTGGATAGTGTTCAGAAAATGGAGGAAATATCTTTCATTTAATATGCATAATCAGTGTTCCATCAGGGATAAACTATCAGTGATTGTGAATACTAGTACATTACTGATCAATGTCAAAATTTCATTCTCAGAGATTCATGAAATTCTCACAAAACAATAAGCCAAGCATGATCAGTTTAAATGATTTATTAAAATTGTTAATTTGAAATGGAGATCAATATTGCAAAAAAAATGATAAAAAAATAATAACAGCAAAAGTTTTAAAAAACTGACAAAGCAAGGTATCAAAATAGCAATTTAAAGGAAAGTAAACATTTATGCTATTTTAATACTTCAAAACATTGAATTTTCTATTATAATTCTAAAAGATGGCCAAGTGTTTTGCATGCCTAAAATAAACACTATCATGGAAATCATACAAACGCCACTAGAAAATTTGCTAAACAACATTCAATTCTCAACATTTTTCTAAAAGCAAACAAATAAATGTTTTAAACAAATATTTCAAAAAAGACAATTTTACATAAAAAATCGTTTCCTTTTTTAAATTTTAATAGGTCAGTGTAGTAACACTTGTTGTTTTGTCTTAGTATAAATCCTTTCCATAATATGAATCATTTCCATAAACAAGTGGCAAAGTTAAGAAAATATAATCATTTGAGATGAAGGCCAATTAAAGGTCAAGGACATATCTAAATTATATAACATGTCTGTTTGGTCACAAGTGTATTTTTGTCCACGTTTGAATCAAATCCAGACATAAATAACAAAACTATGACAACTTATTTTAACCAAAATTCAATACTTTGTTCTTTGCAGTCAAGGTCATTAAGAGCTCAAGGTCAGTTCAACCTTTTAGAAGGTATTGCCCAAAAAGGTTGTTATGTCAATCAATTGATTAATAAGAAAGTTATAGCCAATAAGAGCGATAATCAGTCAATATTAAATAATTTGAACATCAGGGTCAAGGTCATACAAGAGTCTAGGTCAATGTTTAGTTTGATATAGATGAAGGTCTTGGATCCATGCTGTTCGCAAACCCATTATGTTGGTTTTGTCATGACGCAGCTAATTTGTTTCTCAGAAAAATGTGGTAAATAAAGATTAGATAATTAATTTTTGCAAATCATAAAGAAAATTAAACAAATTCAGGAAAATAATAGAATCACTGTCAAATATGAACATTGAGAATTATTTGTTTTTCACAGAAAAAATCTGCTCTCTTTGACTTGTATGATGGACAATAGACCTTTGACATAATAAGGCATCATATCTGAACTACTTTCAGTCAAAGTAAATAGCAGTCTCCATTTACCACCATTGTGGCAAAGTTATAAATTGTTTATGTTTTTCAATACCATTCATGATAATATTGAATCTGGTGTTCACTCTATGAAATATATATTCGGATCTTTCATGCAAAAGAAACAAATACACATTATATGATAGGTTCCAAATTTCTTCATGCTTACAAAAATCATATATTTATGTAAATTAGCTTATTAACACGCAAAACTGTAATTTCATTGTTTTGACGAACAACTGGAGTGTTTTTATTAAACAGCCATACTCCAAGACTGACAAGTTTTCTGTTATTATATTAACCAAAATTAACAATATTGTGAAATAATGGAAAACAAAATAATTAACAAATACGTGTATAAAATAAAACCCATGTACATTAATTTAATGTAAATTTATAGTTGAAACACCGGAATTCAGCTTTGTCAACTTTTGAAGGGATTCCAGTTCAATTAATCTTGTCTCCCATAACTGAAGCTACAAATATCTGAAAATAAAATATATTTGTCATGTTGCAAGTTATTGTTTATCTGGCACTGAATATATTCAACATCATAAAAGACAATGTGATCCATACTTAACAATTTACTAGTAAAATCGAAGACATATTTCTTCTATATTTTTTGTTATCATATCTTTGCATCAATTACCATAGTAAGCTTACACCACGTAAAATGCTAGTTACTAGTCACAAGAAAAATCAAAAGCAATGCATGGTGTGATATTCAGACTTAATTAACTTCACAAACGCCGCTGAAAAACAAACAAGAGTATTGACAATCACTTCCAATATAATGATAGGACACATATTGTTTTCCATTAATGCTGCTGTAATAAAAATATAGAATATCACTTCTAACTGCAAGCAGAAGCATAGTGTATTCTGGTGTCAGGAAAATAATTATTATCGCTTATTTTTGTATCTCATACTTTCTTTAGATGGATAAAAGTAAAAATTTAAAGCCTCAATTGGTATTCTGTATGCTGAAGTTTCCTTTTGAATACATAAATAACTCCTTCAAAAAGTAAGCTTCACTTTAAGTTGTTCCAGAAATAATACATTGTTCTACTGGGTACTTCAGACAGCTTCATTTGAATGGTGTGGGCAACTTCTTACTGCAAAGGGTGAGCAAGGTTTAGTAAAAGAATTAAACAGCATGATTTATTCGAATACAAGAAACTAGAAGCAGGGCATAATCTGTTATTGTTTTTTCAGAAAAATGATTGAAAATTTAACTTTTGAATGGATGTTCACTATAAGCAGGCATTTCAGTTTTTTTTTAATTTTCTAGTGTAACATGTTTACAATAATATTATTTTTGTATAATTACTAGTCCTACATTGAATAAATGTAATTCTGGAAAGGAGAATTTTAATAAATTATTTAAGATTGTTAATACTTTGTAATGTTTTTGAATAAGTAAAGGTCTGCAATGATATCAGTAAAATATTAGATAGTAAAACCCTGATGCACACAACATTGGTGCAAGCTAAAAATTTGGAAAAACCTGAAAACTGTAGTTCATTTATTATTCATTTTCCCACATAATCTAATATCTAAACATAATGAAATTTATCACAAAAACCTGGGCTTCAGGCATATGCCTGAAAACTTGCACCCATGTAACAAGTTATTACAGTAAACATGTTTAAAAGTTTGATTACTCTAATTAATTACTAAGGGATAGGTAATTACCGCAAGATGGCATACTTTAGAACCGTATTATAAGGAAAGACCTTTTCTGTACATCCAATCAACAACACAGCTAAATTTATTATCAAAATCATGACAAACCTATATGATTTTGTTCTTCTCTACAGCAGAAAGCTGTTCCTTACAGATAATTGCAAAGAATCTATAAATAGGATCACCTCTCATCATCATCATGATGAAGACTTCATGGCTGAAACTTCATCACCTTTTGCTATTATAACAAACTGCCAGTCTGAGCTGTCTTGTCCTGTAAACATGTATATAACTTGTCTGAACCTACTGTAACTTCACTGTCATGACAGAAGTCATCTAAAAAAAAAAGCAAAACAAAAGTTAATGTCTTCCGTTAAAGATCATGCACAAGTTATCAGTATTAACCAGGCAAGTTACCACAATTTGGTCTGCACAGATGATAACTGCAATATTAAATAATAACCCTTTAAAGGTCCATTAAGCCTTAGAAAACATAACATTTTTTATTTTTTACTTATCTTGTTGCAGTTCTCAAATAGTAATATGCACTCATTGACCATGTAGAATTATCTTGAGTTCCTTTTTCCTTTGGCAATGGGTATGATTATATTAATTGTTAATTCAGTATTTTGTATGGAAGTCAAAATAATACTTTGCTCACATTTTGCTACCTTTACAACACATGACTGTGTGTTCAGTGCTACTCTTTTCAGTTGTTATACATCTAAAATGCTCTAAATAAGTTTTTTAAATATTTTTTACCAGAGGTTCTTTAAAATATACACTTATTCTATAGATTACTAAGAACAGAAAATAATGTAAAATGTACTACACATTTAGTTACACACAACTTGACAGCAAATTATACATTTTTTCAATATAATAAAATACAAAAATGAAACTTATTTCTCTCTGTAACCCAAGAGGAAACACTGTAACCCAAGAGAAATCACTGTAACCCAAGAGAAATCACTGTAACCCAAGAGAAATCACTGTAACCCAAGAGAAATCATAAATATTGAAAACTTCAGAGTCATATTCTGATACCTTTAGCATTAATGGCCTCTGGTTTCTGAATTCTAAGGTTGTTATAATAAAATTATGTACTTTCAAGTCAAAATGAGGTGAATGTTTTTCAAGGAATTCTTCTTATGAACACAAAACAAATAAATATTAACAATATGACACAAAGTTTAATTCAGTATTTGACCTTGATGGTCAGTCATCTAGAGGTCAATGTCATATTTGAATTACTTAAAGGGACTCCACTGAGGCTTTTGACATTTACCAGATTGGGAAAAAAATTTTTCAAGATTGTATTCTATTTGATGTGTCTTGGCAAAAAAAAAATATGCAAAATTTTTGGGTTTATGTTTCCCAAAAATGATTACTTGAAAAGTGAAAAAAAGTCCCCAAAAAATTTTTTCCCCAAACTTTTTTATTTATTTGTTTTATCGGGAATTTAAAAAATAAAAATTTGCACCCAAATTTCCTTTTAAAATCCCCAAAAAAAACTAAAAAAATGATATAATATGTATATTTAGTATATATATCATTTTTTTAAATTTTTTGTGGGAGATGTAGGTTATTGAATTAAAAGCATATACCAAATATTAAAACATGTTTAAAATGAAAAATACTGCATTTTACATGGTTTGGAGATGTAGGAGGGTTGAAGAGTGAGTGGGTGGGGGCGTTGCCCCGGGGGTAATGACCAATCAACGCGCCGAACACCTATGGTCAAAATTAATAAAGAACTTACAATTTCTTCAAAATATCCTGGATGTCTGTATCAAATAACAGCATGTTTACAGCTGACCCGTCACGTGATTCGATTCAGTCGCACATTCATATATTTTTTGCACACAGCACAAATTAACTGTAATTTTGATAACATGATACCCAGTACATTTCAAATGTATGATAACCCTCCTGTAATGAATGAATGTACGGATTTTCTAAATTGGTACCGAACATACGGAACTATTTACTATGCATGCATGTATATTTCAGCCGAAATTCGGTTGGTAATAAGCGTGGCTGTGTAGTTGTGAAAAGTCAAGGACTCAGTACCTGTATATATGGTGTAAAGTAGGTTCTAATTGACAGTATCATGAAACGGGTAAACTTTTAAAAGGACACACAACTATTTTATTTAGTTGTTTTAGAGTCATTTTATATTTTTTTCCATCGGACCAAAGCTTTGTATATTTGAGAGATTTCGCTAAAAGTGCAAATAGAATCTCATATGTACATCAGTCTCATAGTTTTCAATGGTCAGATAAACGGTTCATCCTTTAAAATATATCAGAAGTGACAAATCAAGCCAATTTGTTTTGCTCCTTTGTGAAAATGTAACTGCATTTTGAGTTAAGTGTTGACTTGGTAGTCATTTGTATTTTGTATTCTTTCCAAACGATCTTTTTCTCAAATGTCTTAACCCCTCAAGTAGTGTCTCTCTCTAAATATAGTCTGAATAGATTTTGTTTTCTAATATAGGCCGAAAAACAAGTTCAGGTGGAGAAAACGTTATTCAATAATTGTTTACAACAACAAGAGTCGAAAGAAGAAGAAATTTCAAGTCACTCTGTGGACTCCGAGGTATGAATTATCACAAGTTTTGCTTAAATATTACACAAAAACACAATTTTATATCAGGGTATAATAACACTTCCGCTATTACTCGTGAAAATTTATCCTTATAATATTCATACGGAAAGTCAAGGACTCAGTACCTGTATATATGGTGTAAATTAAGTTCTAATTGACAGTGTCATAAAACGGGAAAACATTTGAAAGGACACACAGCTCTTTTTAAGTTATGTGTCATCAAATACAAGCGTGTCTAAAAACAATTACCATGCAATTTCTATTTTCTTGAGAGGAACTACCGCAATTATCAGATGTTGTATTTCATAATGATTAACTTTATGCAACGTAAAATATTTGTACATAGTAAATATCACAATGTAAGTCGAACATGTTGGGCATCTGAAGTAAAATTACTACTTGATACTTATGCAGATGACTATGATCCTGTAATCTACAAAAAATATGAATACCTTGTACAAAATGACAATGACTATTATTGACTGTAATAAAATCTGACAGCTGTAAAATGTCTTTTATTTTATCTAACTGTGGTCTTATTTTCTACCTAATTTTAGAAATATCTTTCTGTCATAAATCTGTCATTTATTTTGTTATAAAAAAAATGGTTAAAATGTAATTAGAATCAAAGAACTTGTGCATTTAATTCTTTTTCCAGTTTTTTTCGTTTCTCGATGATTTACCGACAACAAAGAAACCAGAAACACCAAAAAAGAAGACACCAGACGAGAAAGCAAAACCAAAGAATAAAGAGGGCGTGACAGGTGCAAAAAGAAAGGCGTTAACAGCTGGACCATCCACCAGTAAGAAAAAGAAGGCGTATGAAGGCACTGAAATGGGTCATGGTGGCGAGATCATGTTTGAGGTATCAATTGATATACATTGATTTTAGTACTCCGAATTTTGAACCACTATTTCTACCAATATTTCCAGAAATTTCTTAAAACGTAATACCGTTTTAAATCTTAAGCCGGTGGCACCTTCTTTTGACAGTTTTTGTATCATTCATTTTAGTACAATTTTAGTCACGTGAGAAAGTGACACCATAACCTGAAAAAAAGAGAAGAAAGAAAAATAAAACTGGTGAAACTTTTAAACGGGCAATTAATTCCATTTATTGTAATTTTTTAATCATTCTGGACAGCTTTCGATGATGAAGTATTTGACAGCAAATAAAAAGAATGGAAAATTATTGGTTGGTATCAGAGAATATTACCATGATGATGGACAGTTACTGCCAAGTAAAGAAGGTAACTTGCATTTCTTGCCGTGATTATTTATGCTTACCGTTAACAAAAAGCTTTTTGTTTTTATAAAGTTGAAAAAATGTTGCTATTCCTTAAAGTTATGCATATATAATTTCTGATTTTTATTGTACCAACAATCAACTAAGTAAAATATTTCTAGACACGTGAGTCTCAATGCTAAAGCCCAAAGTAATTCTTAAGGAAACTGAATATTGTGTTAAGTTTATACACTACTTGCGTAAAAAATTCGTATGTTCGAACATTAGTTTCATCGTTTCTTTTTTGAAATATAATTATTATGTAAGATGCAAGAAAATGAATCAAAGTAAGAAACCTTGTGTCTTTTTTAAGACTATCTAGCTCTCGGGTAGCTGTTGAGCGGCCTCTTGACATAGCCTCGTTAATGCCATAAACAGTTATTTCCAGAAATATAATCCGGTCTGTACCGGACATATGTGCGTTATCGAAATTAACTGTTAACCTGCTTTTCGAGAAAAGGTGTTATTACGGACTCTGTATTCTTAACATTTCAGGAATATCTTTAACTTTGGACCAATACAAAAGGCTGAAGGGTCAGCTAGCATCGGTTGATAAAGTTTTGAAGGACCTCTCGTAATTTGTAGAGTTGAAGTTGCATTCTATTTTTTTTGTATCTCTTTTTACCTTTTCCCATTTATGTTGTGCTTTATACAAGGCGTTTCAAATTATTAACGTGTCTGGCAGGTAAAACACTTATTATTGAAACCAATTTTCTATATTCATATATCATGTGTCATCAGGATTGTCGAAGTAAAGGAAGGAAAAAAGGAAAATAGTTTTAGCATTGTTGCAAAATAACAATTACTTTATATGATTAACATAGACATTGTAATCAATATTTTAAATCATAGTAAATAATAATAACTCAATCAAAATCGCGTTTCTTTCATGAATTAGCAATTATTTGGTAAGTATAAAAATGTTATTCTATTATTTATTGTATTGCTTTCATAAATTAGTACACTGGATCGCATTTTAACTGATTTGGTGATGTATTTGAATATGCAAATCAATACAATAAACTTTATGTTCAGGTCTGGTTTTATTCTGCTAATGAGTTTTTTAAATCCACTAATAAAATTATCTCGCAAAAAGGTTGTTGTCTTTAATTTCCAGCTGATGAGGAGAGCACACTCTGTCTCCGATACCCTGAAATATTTAACGCTCGTAGAATGTTCAATAGTCAAACAGGACTGATGTATGAGCTGCATCATGACAAAATCAACAGTCTGATCAGGATCCATACTGTTCGCTATCAGTTTCTCTACTTGTTATAGAGTTGGTAAGCGAACAGCATGAATCCTGATCAGACTGCGCGGATGCGCATGCTGGTCTGGATCCATGCTGGTCGCAAACACACCATGTTGGTTTTGTCGTGACGCCTCTTATATCATTTCCGCTTCCTTACAATCAATTGGAACACCTCTCTGGTTACGCGTAATTACTGTCGGCAGAACTCATGTGTACGAGATGATTTCCTGATACAAGTATATGATGGTAACGAACAAAAAGTCATTAAATAAACAAACAAACCATATCATAAATTATTCAATGCACGAAAAAATTTACAGACTATAAAACTGGTCCATATCAAATTTTGAATAGTATAAATATTTAACCTTGCCTTGTCGGAACCTTGTAGAAACTAATGGCTTCCTATTGTCATCTTTATGTCATGGAATGGACTGTTCAAAAATATGGAAATTGGTCTAGTCCATTTATAAAAAAAAATTAAGCAGATGAAAGAGTAAAAGATGACAGAAAATGGCGAAAAATAGCGGAATCACACGAGCTTGTTAAATCCTTTAACTTGAAAAAGTGCAAATGAATAGCATGAATGTTAGCGTGAATTAAGTTCAAAACAATGAAAGAATATAGTTATACATAAAACAACAACATCAAAATACTATTTTTCAATTGCATTGTGAACAGTGAAAAAAATGATATTCAAATTTAAAACGATAGCGTAAGGTATGTCCAATTAGTTTAAACAACAAAACAATATTTTCCGTTTGAAAAAGAGGAAATAAAGCTGGTTGTATTTACAAAGAAACGTACGCAGAAGTTTTACTTGAAGTATATTAGCATCAAACATGCATAGGACTATACTTTTAATAATGCTATTTTTCTTTTACACTACTTTTACTTCCAAATCAAGGTGACACAGTGTCTACAGTGGATCTCTTGTTTACTGGATTCCATGAACCCATTAGAAAAGATCGCACCAACGATAATCATGTTGGGGTTCTTATTTATGTCAAAGAATCTATCTCATATGTACGTAGAACCGACCTTGAGCTAAATCATCTAGAATGCATATGGCTCGAACTCAGATTGTCTAGCGTTAAGAAAGTTTTGTTTGGCGTTTTCTATCGCCCCCCCCCCCCTAGTTCCGATATGATTTATTATTCTCTTATTGAAGATTCATTGGGACTAGCCATAGATACTGGCATTTCAGATGTGATATTAGCAGGTGATTTCAATTTGAACATTGACTCTCAGACTTCTCCCCGAAAAGAACAAGCACTATGTCAACAAAATGAACCAAATCATTGATGAACACACACACTCTACAGAAAATTCTTCTTTACTAATTGACCTGTTCTTTACTAACAACATAGACAATTTTATAAAGGCTGATGTTGGTGATCCGTTTCTGCAGCAACATGTCAGGTATCACTGCCCAATCTTTGCTGTTTTTACCTACATAAAACCCAAAGCTAAGTCTTTTGATAGATATGTGTGGCTCTATGAGAAAGGCAACTATGACTTGCTGCGTAGCAAGATGAATCTAGTTAACTGGGACGAACTTCAAGATGATGATATTGACACCTTTATTGAGAATATTACAAACACTATGATCATAAACATATCAAAATTTTGTATTCCAAACAAAAATGTAAAAATCAAGCCTAATGACTCTCCGTGGATGAACAATCAAATAAAAACAAAAATAAGGCAACGTAAGCGCGCCTACAGAAAAGCAAAAATTTCTCAAAGTCAACATCATTGGTTAAAATTTCGTAGACTCAGAAATGAAGCAGTTCAGCTAGTCAAAGACAGCAAATCTCGTTACTTTCTTTCATTGTCTGACAATTTTAAATCAACTTCCATATCATCAAAAGATTATTGGAAAATCCTCAACTCCTTTGTATCATATTCATCAAAAAAGGTATTCCTTCTCTTATTGATCCAATTACTAATTCCATTGTATCTGAAGAACGTGAAAAGGCTAATCTACTTTCAAGAACCAGACAATGGTTGACGACTCTAACAGGAATCCCCCAGACCCTCAGACACAGACAATCAACAGACCTTGGAAACGATTTATATATCTCCTTCTGAAATTGAGGATGTACTGAAATCTTTAAAAACCGATAAAGCATCTGGACCTGACACTATCAGTTATCGAGTTTTACATGAGGCCTACCAACAACTTTCTCATCCCTTTCACAAGCTCTTTAACTTCTCACTAAGATCCAAGAAAATGCCGATATCCTGGAAGTTGTCAAATGTCTGTGTTGTATATAAGAAAGGTGATCCTGCTGTTGTAAACAATCATAGACCTATATCTTTACTCAACACTATTGAAAAAATATTTGAACGAGTAGTCTATTAACATATCTTTAACTTTTACAGACACATTTCATTCTTCACTCCATATCAGTCGGGATTCTTGCCAGGTTTACCAACTTGCGTATCTTA